CAGAACACATAGTTATGTGTACCTCAGATGTGTACGTGATTGTACATAGCAATACTATTCCTAGTGGCTGAACATGTCCACCAACATCTGAACAAACTGTGGTATACTCATATAATGAAATATCCTATGAGAATGAACAAACTGTTGCTACATGCAGCCACATGGATGGATGTTACAGATACACTGTTACGTGAAAGAAGCCAGACATTTAAAAGCGTATGCTACACAATTCTACTTATACAAAGTTCAAAAATAGGGAAGATGTATCAGTAGTAAAACAGGTCAGGATACTGTTTACTTTTGGTAGAAGAGGTAGGGACTGGCATAAGGAGCTTTAGGAGCTGGCCATGTCCCCTGTTCTGGTCTGGGTTACACAGGTGTGTTCACTTTGTAGAAATTCACTGAACTGTTCATTTAAGGTTCATGCACTTTTCTGTATGTATTTTATGCCTTGATTTTAAAATGTTCTTTTAAAAAGTTGAAAATTTGCCTGCTTCTTGCCTTTCTCCGATTACAAGTTTTCACAGCTTTCCTGAACTTCTCAGAATACCAAGTGGAATGAAATGATGACTTTTCCTTCATGGATGAAGGGCAACAGCTTTGCTTACATTTTTTGTTTTTTCCTACAAGGAGATGTTAAATTTAATTCTGGACAGCCTATTTGTTTTTCTAAACTAGCTATTGCCAGGAAAACAGGCTGAAGAGTGTAGAGGGATGTGTGTGTGTGTGTGTGTGTGTGTGTGTGTGTGTGTGTGCGCGCATGCGTGTGTGCACTTTAGGTGTGTGTAATTGTGTATGAATTTATCTGCATATAGGTGTATGTTTGCACGTATCTGCAAGCCACATAAATGACCGTGCGTGTATTTATGTTTCCTTCTTATACTGATGTTCTTGGATTGCAGTAAACTTGAAGTTGTTTCTGACCATCTGACTAGGCAAAGAAGCTTCAACATTAGATCAGTGTCTGAGGCACATAGCACATGCTCAAAAAATATTTGTTGAATAAATGAAAGATTGACCAAGAAAATTAATGAACAAAAAAAATGGGAGAGTTGAAAAGGCTTGGATGTATGTCTTCATCTTCGGTACAGTTGTCGCTGGAGAAGTCAGTTATTCAACTACGTTCCCTCTTAGCCTGTCTTCCAGACACTGCTGAGAAGACGAGGAGAGGGGTGTGTGACTCATTTTACTCAGTTGATGGCTCTCGACCCTCCTTCCCGGACGCTGGGCCGGCCGAGGTCATGCCCACAGCTGCTGCTCAGCTTCTTTCCTAGCAGGGTCAAGGGCCGGGTGAGCTAATATTTGTTCAGCTTGTCCCACTACTGACACGTTAGGAAAGAGCAGTTCCATCTTGGGAGTTCCCATAATGTGATGGCCTCAAAATGTCCCCCTCCGCTGGAAGTAGATTGCTCCGTCATTTATTTTATCAATATTGGCAATTTTTTAAATTGGGCCCAATAGCTTCCTCTCTTCTCATTCCCGAGCCTGTTTACTGTCTCCCAGGGGGCCTGCTCCTCTGTCTCACTTTGAAATGCTCCTGGCACATCCCAGCCAGCGACCACTGGAGCTTCCTTGATTAGCTATTCCCTTTGCCCCTTTGAACTTTGTAGCTCAACTCCCCTGGTGATGCAATGCTGGCCCAGGCCGTGACTCCCTGCAGTCTCCCTCCACCTCCACAGGGAGCAGAGGCGCCTTAGGGCAGCCGAGCCCTCTGGCCACCAGCCCTGCTAGGCCAGCAGCTGCAAGACCCACCGCACTGCCGCTGGTCAGCCCTGGGGATCCTCGGCAGAGAATGGCAGATGTGGAGTCAGGGCGCCACCAAGCCTGGCTCCTGCATCCGGGATAGATACCGCTCATCTACTGCGACATTCTTCTTCTGAAAGCCTAGAGCAAAGCTGAGAACCCTTCTTGGGCTAGTGCACTCAGTGGGCACCACCCATCAATAAAAATGGAAGTTTGTCTGCTATCGCTGTGATTTCAAGTTGCCACACACATGGCATTCTCTGAATTTTCCATCAGCATTTAAGACCCACTTCTCTGAGATGAACTGAGCTACATAAAAATGAACCCAGCACAGTGGCTCACAACTGCAATCCTAGTGCTTTGGGAGGCCAAGGTGGGAGGACCACCTCAGGCCAGGAGTTTGAGACCAGCCTGGCCAACACCGTGAAACCTCATCTCTATTAAAAATACAAAAATTAGTTGGGTGTGGTGGCACGCCTCTGTAGTCACAGCTACTCAGGAGGCTGAGGCACTAGAATTGCTTGAACCTGGGAGGCAGAGGTTGCAGCCAGCCAAGATAGTGTCATGACACTCCAGCCTGGGCGACAGAGTAAGACCCTGCCTCCAAAAAAAAAAAAAAAAAAAATAGTACCTAGCGCAGTGGCTTATGTCTGCAATCCCAGTGCTCTGGGAGGCCAAGATGGGAGGATCACTTGAGATCAGAAGTTTGAGACCAGCCTGGGCAACAGAGAGGCCCTGTTTCTACAAATAATAATTTTTACAATTAGCCAGATGTGGTGAAATGCACCTATAGTCTCAGCTACTCAGGAGACTGAGGCGAGAGGATCGTTTGAACCTAGGAGTTTGAGGCTGCAGTGAGCTATGATCATGCCACTGTATGCCAACCTGGGTGACAGAGCAAGACCCTGTCTCAAAAAGAAAAAAAGTCTGATGGAGGCTAATAGTTCAGAGTAAGCCATTATATGTCCAGTGAGGTGCTAGACAAGTCGGGATAAGAGAAAGGATCATACGCCCTTTGTTGAAGCTGCTTGTGATGTCCCTGGGAGGGGCAGGACATATACATGAACTGCAGGGTTCATCAGGGGCTGGGCAGCGCAGCTCTGCTGGGAGGCTCCCACCACACAGACACAGAGAAGGCAGAGCAGACAGGGGCTGGAGAAAGCAGGAGCAGCCAGGACAGACCTCCAGGTGAGGGAGCCCTGGGACTCAGGAGATGCATTTGGGAGATGGAGGCTATTGACAAGGGTACACCTTCAAGGTGCTGCCACTCAGGAGATGAGCTGAGCAGGAGAAGAACCATCCGCAATGCTAAGAGTGGGCCACAGGATCGTCTGTGCTGGCAGAGTGGGCCTGGACAATGTGCCGGGAGAGCATCCAAACCCCGCATTTTCCCATCTTTTCTCCCAGTCTGATCCAAAGCTTGCTGGAGAGCGGGGAGGGCTGAGCAGGGAAGGGGGAGGTTGGGGAAGGGACACAGCAGGCTCTGGCTGTCTGGAGCCATCCCCACACTGCAGCAAGAGGACTCGGGCCCTGTTGCAAGATTTGTCGTCACTGCTTAGGTTGAGGTAATGACATGACTTGGAAAGAAGCAAATGGTTTCCAACAAAGAAAACTGTACAGGATCAGGGGGCTTGGGGAAATGCATGGAGATGTGAGGTCTGGGACAAGTCAACGTAGATTCACCAGGAAATTAGAAAAGCTGTGGTGGTGAGAAACACGCATGTGCCCGGCACTCAGGGGAAGAGCTGCGGAGTCTCTGGCTCAGGAGCGTTAGCGAAGGCCTCGGAACAGCAGCTGCGGCAGGGGGCCCACACCTTCACTCCCTCCTCACTTGCTTCTCCCGCATTAAAAACACAGCTCTAATGAATCACCACATTCTAGCTCCTTTCGTATCTCCCAGTGCTAAGACATTTCCAGTACGAGAGCTGACCTGGAGCCAAACAGCAATTCCTCCTGGTGTACATGACTCATTGGAAAAAGTGTCTCATAGGCTATTAAAAGAGTGGGGGAGGGCCGGTAAAACATTTGGGTTCAAAGCAAATTATATGGAAACTAAACAAAGTACGTATAATTCTGACACTGAATACTGCTTTCCTCAAATAACAAGACAGCCAGAAAAATGAGCTCTTTAGTTAACGCAGTGCACAGATGTTCCAGAAATGAATTAAATGCTTCAAAACAGTGCAAATGAAACTTGGCTTAAACAGGTCAATCCACAGATTAATATGTGAAGGTGTGTTTACCTGCTAAACTCACATATGCAAAAGAAATGAAGCATCTTTACTTCTACTTCCTTAAACTCGCCTCATCACCCTTGGAAGCCCTCATTCCTGAGGACGTGGGGAACAGAAACAGAAACCTGACAAGGTTATGTGACCAGTTACTTCCACAGTTTGAGGCAGATCCTCAGTGAGCTACTACTACACCAGCTTTTGTGGGCACAAGAGAGGAATCAATCCTATCTGCTGTTCCAGGAATGGACAGCAAAGCATCTTGGGCTTTGGCAGATCTGGGCTTAAGTTCGGCTCCACTCCTTATCACCTACATGATCCCTGACAAGATACTGCATTTCTATCTCAGCTTCCCCATCTGTAAAGTGGGAATAACAAAAGCAGCCATCAGTATTATGTAGACTAAATGGGATAATGAATTGATAGTGCTTATCAGAGTTAAAGTACCCAGTAAAGCATATTTCAGTGGTGCCCACTATTGTTATTGTAATCGTTATCTTCCTTTAAAATGGAGAAGTTTAGAGAGTATGAGAAACTGGGTTAACGCTGTTAAACCTTTGCTCATTCAATTGCTTTTTTCCTTTGTCCAGAAAACCCAGAATTTTATGTGTTATCTAGAGAAATATAAATGTGAATGACCTGGTCTGATTTTGGTACATTAAAAAATGAATTTTATTCAACCTGAGAAAGCTGATTGTTTTTTTAATGAAGTTCTAAAGGTGAGGGTAGTGTGGTCATTTTCCTGAACAGAGGAGTACCTTTTATATCATGCCTGTTACTGGACACAAGTTCCCAGAAGCACCTGATTATCTCATAGTACAACACCTACTCGCTATTTACTTTTCTAGGTAATTTGGTGTTTTGAAAGCATCCTATAATCTTAGGCCCTATTAAAAACAAAAAACCTGCCCTCTGAATGATGCTATGAAAAACTATATCACCAATGCTTTTCCCCCATGATATTATGAGCAGTGTTTTACATTTCATTATTTATACATTTCATCAATCAACACTAAGTTGTGTTACCTCTTAAAAAACGTCAGCATGGTTTCCTGAGTTGGAATTGCCATAATCTTGTGGTCTAGTTGCAAGAAGACCCAAAAAAGTATTGTTTTCACAAGACGGAATTCACTAAAGGTAAACAACCTGGCCAAAATAAAAAGATTGAGAAGAAATTTTAGAAATAGCACAAAATCATGCTGCTGCTAAGAAAATGGTTAGAATGAGTTTGAGAATTAGGTGACACCACCCTTGATTCTGAAGGTAGCCTCAGACTTTAAGCAGTTAAAGAGCTTGCTCAAGGACCCTCAACTGGGAAATGGCAGAACTAGGATTTGAATCTCAGCAGCCTGGCACTGGGGCCAGTGTTTTCACCCACCCTCTGTGCCCCTGCAAAACAACGATCATCATTTAATGGGCTCTTACTATGTGCCAGGTGTTCTCAAGATGTTTTCTGTAGATTCTTTCATTTAATTCCACACAACAGTGCTGCAAAGTTAGGATACAGTCCTTACTTTTATAGATGTAGAAATTGCAATTAACCCTATGTTTATTTGAAATTTTAGTATTTTGTTCATCATGGCATTTTTGCATCAATTTTACTTCTAATATATTACACTAAAATAGACTACCTCTTCATGACTATGTTTTCTTGATGCTCCCTTAAATTTTGCACCAAGGTGAGTGCCTCACTTGCTCCACCTCAGTTCTGGCCATGATTGAGGGCTGAACCCTGAATAACTTATCCAAGGTCACACAATTCTGGGCTCAGACCTGGGTACAGGCCAGGTTAGAATCTCAGCTCCTCGCCAGACTGGCTGTGGAACCTCCTGCGAGTTGCTCTACTGCCCTGCAGCTGCGATGTCCTCATCTGTGAAAGTGTGATCACAGCAGCGGCTCAGAGGAGAGTGCTGCAGAGGGGATGAGGTGAGCAGATGAGTTTCTTATCGCTCCCGTAACAAACTGTCATAAACCAAGTGGTTCAAAACAACACGAATTTATTTTCTCATCATTCTGGAGGTCAGAAATACCAAAGGAGGTAAGGTCAAGTTGTCAACAGGGCTGTATCCCTTCCAGAGGCTCAAGGGCGAATTCTTTCCTTGTCCTTTCCAACACCTAGAAGCCGCCCACATTCCTTGGCTTGTGGCCTCTTTCTCAGTCTTTAAGTCAGCAGTTCAGCATCTTCAAATCTTTCTATGGTTCTGACTCTTTGGCCTCCTTCTTCACATTTACAAGGTCCTTGTGATCATACTGGGCCCACCCAGATCTTCCAGAATAAGCTCCTCATTTTAAAGCAGTCTAAATTTTGACTGCTGAGAAGTTTCTATTGTACAAAACTTCATTTAAAAGGTTTTTCTATTGAATCCAGGGTACTCTGAAGATCGAAGCCTGTGTAAAATGCTACCAAATGGCAAAAAGCAACAATAAACAGTTTGATTTTTACTTTTCTTTCTAACATACCAATGCTTAGCCAGAACTATTCAGTTGTCAGTAGTAAATTTAAAGACAAATGGCCCATTTTCCTCCAGTGCATGAAACATACCATATTTATACCTGCAACTAAGTGTTAAAAATTGTGCTTTGTAACTCTGTACTGCCAGTGTTAGAACTAAAAATCTACAATACGCCAGTGCTTAATGCTTATATAACTGTGGATTTGTCAGCTTTTATGTAATCTGTAATATGTACAGCAGGAAATACAAAGAGTTACACAGTGTATGCCTTAAAAGGCTGTTTCTTAAAGCTGTTACAAGGGGGTGATAGTATTTCAACTAGTTATCAGCAAGTGACAATACATTCCACCATAAATATACTCTTGTTCTTCTAGCTTTTAGACTATATGAAAAAAAACTGGATGCTTCAAAGTACATGATGAGAGAAGGGAACACTATACATGTGTCATGGATGAACTGAAGACTTTGCCTGTTCATTTTTTAAAATATTATTTTCAGGTCCTTTGCTTACCAAAGGAGACCCAATTTCACTCAAATGTTTTGAGAACTGTGTTTAAATAAACGCAAATGAAAAAAAAAACAGTAGTGTACTAGGTAAAAAAAAAATATATATATATATATATAGTACATATACACCATAAAATACTATACAGCCATAAAAAAGAATGAAGGCATGTCCTTTGTAGCAACATGCGTAAAGCTGGAGGCCATTATCCTAAGCAAATTGACACAAGAATAGAAAACTAAGTACTGCATATTCTCACTTACTCAGTGGGAGCTTAAACATTGAATACACACGGACACAAATAAGGGCCTGCTTGATGGTGGTGGGTAGGAAGAGGGTGGGGATTGAAAAACTACGTATAGGGTGGTATTATTCTGTTCTTTAATTTCTATAAAGAAATATCTGAGACTGGATAATTTGTAAAAAAAAAAAAAAAAAAAAAAAAAAGAGGTTTAATTGGCTCACAGTTCCATGGACCGTACAGGAAGCACAATGCTGGCATCTGCTTGGCTTCTGGAGAGGCCTCAGGAAACTTACAATTTTGGCAGAAAGTAAAGTGGGCGGAGGATGTCACACAGCTAGAGCAAGAGCAGGAGACAGCGAGGCAGGAGGTGCCACATGCTTTTAAATGAGCAGATCTCAAGTGAACTCACTCACTATCAGGAGAACAGCACTAGGAGGATGGTGCTAAGCCCCATTAATGAGAAATCTACCCCCATGATTCAATCACCTCTCATCAGGCCTCACCTCCAATACTGGGGATTACAATTCAACATGAGATTTGGTGGGGACACACGTCCAAACTATATCAAGGATACTATGCTAATTACCTAGGTGACAAAATTATCCATACACCAAATCTCTGTGGCATGCAACTTACTCATGTAACAACCTGCATATGTACCCCTGAACCCAAAATAAAAGTTGGAAAGAAGGGCTAGGCAGAGTGGCTCACGCCTATAATCCCAGCACTTTGGGATGCTGAGGTGGGTGGATCATGAGGTCAGGTTGGTGGATCGTGAGGTCAGGTGTTCAGGACCAGCCTAGCCAAGATGGTGAAACCCCATTTCAACTAAAAATACAAAAATTAACTGGGTACGGTGGCAGACCCCTATAATCCCAGCTACTCAGAAGGCTGAGGCAGAGAATTGCTTGAACCTGGGAGGCGGAGGTTGCAATGAGCCGAGATTGTGCCACTGCACTCCAGCCTGGGCGACAGACTGAGACTCCATCTCAAAAAAAAAAAAAAAAAAAAAAAAGTTGGAAAGAAAGAAAAGAATCAGCTGATTAGTGACCTTAGTTCCCTCTGCAGCCTTAGTTTCCTTTGCCACACAAACTAACATATTCATGGGTTCCAGAGAGTGGGATGTGGACATCTGTGGGGCCATCATTCTAATGACTGCACACATACAAAGTGCTTACACAGTGCCTGGCACATCATGACATGCTCAGCGGCTGGAAGCTCTTATGCATACATGACAGGGTCAGGTCCCAGCTCCAGAGTCTGTGCAGTGCCCGCTGCAGCATATGGCCTCTCCTCCATAAATGAGCATTGCCAAAGAATAGCTGCTACCCCATAATGGCAGCTCTGTAAGTGTGGCTGTTTCCCAAACCCCTTCTCTAGCAGCCTCTGACAGTAATCTTTGGAGCCATTTCACCACTTCTTAAACCCATCAATATTTTCAGCCTCTGACCATGGACATAGCACCCTGGCCTTAAAATATGCCACCACTTCTTCATTCAACCACTGCCTGTGGTTATGGTGGGTGGCACAAAAGACAAACCGTGACTTTAAAGGATACTGGAAATGTCACCCACTTCTCATGCTATTTCTGAACAGAGTAAAACTGTCTCTGTCCTCTCCTTTGGTTTTCAGACCACCTACAAATGCATGGACTTTGACTCTGGCCAGACAGGACCAAGTTTGCCACCATCTGGGCAATCATCGTGAGGCAGGAAGGGGACACTCTCCGCAGAGCCACTTGGTATGATGTCCCCATGAAGAACTTTGTCAGTGGGGCTGGCGAAACGAAGTGACTTCTAATGGAAACTCCACACCTGAGGTCTTCAAGCCCAGAAGGTCCTTTAAGGTCTTACTAAAGAGGAGCTAGCAGCAACATGGGGGAGTCTTGGGAGCTCCATGAATCAGAATCCTGGTTGTATTATTTATGAAGGATAATTATTAAAGTAAATTCCTCTGTCTTTAGGTCAATATCAGACCTGAAAGTATTCGTTTCTGCAGCAGATAATGACACCAAAGACATTCATATACCTTTTTATTTACCTAAGAGTTCTGATGGCCTCAATCAAGACAGAACTCACAAGGGCTTGAACCTCCCTCTCTGGGATGCACCATGTGTGTTTACTGGCACTCCCAAGCAGCCATTGGAATGTAACTGATATTTGTGCTTTAGGAGAAAAAAGCAATGCTTTTCATAAGACACTGTCCTCTATTTTTTACCGAGAAAATTATATATAAACACTAAAGGCCTTCTGTGCATATAGACCATAGAGAAAGCCATGACCGTGGGAGTAAGATATGAACAAGGATGCCCACTGCTGCATCACTTGTCTTAGCAAACAAACAAACAAAATAAAACAAAAGGCCATTAGGAAGGGAATGAAAAGAGATCACTGTGCATTCATCCAATAGAACCACGTACAATTAAAAGTTAAAATGCTAATCCGATATGTAAATATCAATAAGGAGAGAACACAACACACAATGTAAGCGAATAAGCTGCAGAATGTTGCAATCACGATGAGAACACGTATTTCAAGTTTAACTCTTTTGAGCCAGTATTATTTATGTGGCAAGAGTAAAATCAAGTAGATTAAATCTGAACAAGTTCCTAACAGTGGTTTAATTGTCTTGAGGAGGGGAAGGAGGGAGAAAATGAGGCAGGGAATGGGGCTGGGAGGGGCGCATAGGTGACTTCTGCTTCACTGGCAATGTGTGATGTCTCAATTTAAGACAAAATACTAATATTCGCTCATTTGGGGAGATGATACAACTGCATTTTGTATTATCATCCTACTTTTATACTTTTTTACAGTAAAAATAATATCAGTATTCTTATTGTTCTTGACCATCAGTAAGGAAAATGAAGGCATCATGCAGAGCACATCAGTGGGCTGGTAATGACCATGGGCTTTAAGCCACGTGGGTTCAAACCCCAACTCCCATGTTGCATGGAGGGACCATCAGCTGATCCCATCATTGGCTATCATCTCTATCCCACGGGCAAGAAATGCCAATAATAGTATCCACCGCATTAGGCTGCTATAGGAATCAGTCTGGATAACCCACCCAGAGTGTTCTGTATACAACTAGTGCTTAATAATTGGTGGGTATTGCTAGTATTAGCTAAAGCAGCATTGGGTTCAGGGACTATTACATTTGAGATGGGTGCCCAGAGGTGTCCCAGACACCCATGGGAAACTTGTCCCATGCTGAAGGGCAGGTTGTGGAACACATGTGACAAGGAGGACATGCATAGCTCTTCTTGGGGAAATCTTGAGACCCCGAGACTTCTCGGGTCATAGACGGGAAATTGGGGAGAACTGGAAACACAGGAGGCAGTGCTGCTGGTTGCAAGGTCATCTTTTGTTGAGATGGGAGCTAGATAGTGCTCTGAGGTCTCTAACCTCCTAAGTCCGCGAGGAGCTTGGTTTCCAGGAAAAAACTTGGAATGAAAGTTTCTTAATATTAGAGTTAGTAGAACAGGGTCACCGAGCAGTGACCTCTACAAAGAAAATTAACTGAAAACCAAATGCCAGGCAAGTAAATTAAAACCAGAGGCCCAAGAGGTTAGAAAAACTGTAGCCTGTTTTACCCCAGGTAGTTGACACGATGGAAAACAAAACCTGAAGGCAGATGAGCTCAAGGGACTTCAGATGGAGAAGCCAAATGGCCCAGAAGCTGCAGCCTCTGTTAAAAAAAAAAAAAAAAAAAAAAAAAAAAAAAAAAAAAAAAGGACATTGTTCCAAACACCTGTGACCACAAACTGGGGGACTGGCCCCACAGCTGGGGGGGCAGATAAGTCAGGCCAAAGGCCACTCCATCCCTGACACTGACGCTGGAGTCTGCATTTCCACACACCCCACTCTGGGGCCACGTGGCTCCTTGGGACCATCAGTTCTCGCTACATCCTTTCAGTTGCTGGTAACCTTGGCCTCTGTGAACGGCGGTGAGGGGTGCAGCACCCAGGGCAAGATGTGGACTTTGGAGCCAGTGGAGGCCCTGCCCTGCCCATCATTAGCCCTCTTCTATCAGAGATAACAACTGTGCCCATCACAGGGAGTGGGGAGGATAGAAAGGGACAGTGCGCACAGCACACAGCACACACTGCAGTGTTAGCTCGAGAAAGATGCATTCTGAATCAGCTGTGGACTATGGTGCCGACTCCACGAGCCAGCAGCCTGAAACTCACAAGCACCCTAATATGAGAAGCCCTAGCAGGTGAAACTTCTACCAAGCCTCCTTCTTCCTAAACCCTGTCTCCCACCTCTCTCAAGCTTTAATGCAGGCTGCCAGTAGAGATCAACCTCAGATGTGAGCAGAGCCTGGGGAGCGGTCAGCCTGGGCACGTGGCTGATGGCAGACCTGAAGCCACACAGGGCTCTTCCCCCTTCAGTGATAGCCTTGGACTGTCTGTTCAGACAGCTCCTGGGGAGCGGCCAGAGGAGCAGGACCCATTTTCCACATCAGTCATGTCTGCCAGGCTGGTGAGTCTAGACACTTGACACGTAATGCTCCTGACCTCTTTTCCTGCCCTGTGTGCGTTTGTCAGGCTTATCCCACCACGAACATTCTGGTTGTGGTCAGACATTTTTTCTCTTTAACCAAGTTAATGCTGCCAGGGTGTGACAGCTCAGCCTTTCCAAGGGAGGGACAATGTTATGAAAACTCTAAGAGATGCCATGTTTATCTTTTCTTCAACAATTACACAAGCTTGCTCCACTGGGGAGTAGGGGAGCGCCTGAGTGGGGGAGAGCAGAGAACACCACGGAATGACTTTAGGAGTGTGCCCAATACCCTGGGCTGGCCTGAAGCTGGGACTCCTGGGGCTTCCCAGAGAATGTGGTCTCCTTCCCTCCGTCCCAGAACTCCATTCTACCTGCCTCACATCTCTGCAAAGTTCAGGGCATTACATGCTACGTAGCCACTTCAAACCAACAGTAGAATAAATCTTTATAATCTAATTTCTGAAACCAGAACACTTTCCACACATAAACATGAGTAAACACTCATTTTCTAATATTCTACTAGGATTTTCAGCAGAATGTAGTCTTCATTTTTGAAATTTCCTCAAAGGTAATAAAATTTTGGTAACTTGGAAATGAGTACCAAGATCTTTTTGAACAAAGTCCTAAAGACATATGACAACTAAGTGGTCCTAAACAGAGTCCTGCATTGGAGGAAAAAAAAAAAAAAGCTATGAAAGACAGTATTGGGCAAGTGACATTCAACTATTACATCAATGTAAGTTTTTCAAGTTGATAACTGCACTATAGTTATATTTTCAAACAATTCTTCTTCTTAGGAAATAAACACTGAAGCATGTGGAGTAAAGGACCTTAATAAATGTGACTTACCCCAAATATTAACAGTTCAGAAAAAACAAGCGTAAATATAGATACACGCAGAGATGCAGATGATGGAGCACGCGGGGCAGAAATTGAACTCTGGCGTGATCAACGGTACAGGGTGCATACAGTCTATGCATTATTCTTGCAACTTTTCTGTAAGTTCGGAAATTATTTTCAAATACAAATGTTTCAGACACAAATACAAAATAGAAAGTTCTTTTGACTTAGTCTTTTCACTTCTGGGAATTCAATGTGGGGAAAGAATCTGAGATGAAGATAATGTTGAAGGATGTTCACCAGTGTGGTATTTGTATTGGTAAAACATTGGAAATAACCTAAAAAGCCTGGCATGGGGGAATATCTCCAGGGAGAAGGAGAGCTGGCAGGGGACAGGCATTTCAGGCAGGAGGATGGGCATGAAGCGGGGCCCGGTATGGGGAGGTGTCCAGCAGGGAAGTTTCGGGGGTCCCCGTGGCTGCACTCATGCTGTGTGAGATGAAAGAGCCAGGTCCAGAGGCAAAGGCCATTGGCTAGAGATGCGATCAGAAGGGGGTCCAGACTGGAAGCAAGACAGTTAGAGGTCACCTTGGTCCAAATAAGAGACATTGAAGCTCCGGCCTTGGGCTGGGGCTGCTACCAGTGGAGAGAGGTCCATAGCGCCGGACTTGATTTGGAAGTAGAAATGACCCCAGGGTCGGGGTGCGGCCAAAGTGGGGTCCAGGACTCTCAAGGCTCTAGCTTGATCCGCTAGTCAGATGGTGGAGGAACACTGGGGGCAGGCTTGGGTGCAGGAAAGGGCAGGGGCACTGAGAGTTGGGTTTTAACTCTATTGCCAGAGAAGTCAAGCAGGCGGTCAGACATGTGGGTCTAGAATTATTCAGCAGAGGAGTCAGGGCTGGAGATGTAAACCGATGCAGGGCAAGAGATTTTATTTTCTATAATGAATGTGCATTAATGTTGTCAGGACTTTTTTCTAAAAATTACTTAGGTAATTAAGTCTTTCATTTTTCGTACCCAGGTGAGTAATGAGACAACAGGGACTCAGAGGGTCCCTACCCACAAGAAGGAGTGTGAAGGGAGCTCTGTCCCCAACCCTGCACACAGCACCCTGAGTTCCAGCCCCAGCTGAGACCCAGCTGTCCAGGAGGCCAGGACGCTTAAGGCGTGGGTACAGCCTCCCCCAGAGCCCCTCCCCACCCAGTTTGGTCCCCACTTTCTCCCAAGCCCCTCTCAAGACCCGCAGCCTGGGAGCCAGCTCTGACCTGGGAGACTTCAGTACTTTGTGGAGCAGGTCCTGCGGGATTCTGCGGAGGTAGACCTGTGTCCCCAGTAGAGGAACCAAGTTCATTTCCAGCCACTTCTCGCAGGCCGTGGTAAGCTGCTCTTCCTTGTACTAAGACAAGAAAAGCCGGTTAATGAAGGAAGTCCTGAACTCTTGGCACCCTCTGCTGGCCTGCGAGGACGCTACATGTGTGCTCAGACAGAGTCGCTGCAGACACGCTCAAACGTTTTCTACAAAATACGTGAACCACAGCAGATACCGTTTTCAAAGTGTTTTCTACGCTGGAGCCGCTGCACTTGGTTGACTTAAATCAATCCTCACTGAAAACCTACAAGATGGGTTCACAGTCTTCCCTATGTTACTAGTGGGGAAACATACTCCCAGGGTCCTGCTCTTGCCTGTGTTACGAGCCACACAACTCGTAAGTGGCCGAGCCGATGCGAACCCACCAGAGGCCTTGCACGCTGGCCCAAGTCAGTGGCTAATCAGGGAGGGCTCAGGGGCTGTGCCTGCGGGAGTTCTGAGGCTACGATGTGAACACACCCCAAAAGCAAGAATTAAAGGGCAGGGGAAGTAGAAAACGCTTCCCCCCAGGGACCCTGAGAGAGTCTTAGCACACCTCAAATAGCTTCAGGGCCTGGGGTGCTTCTGAAGCCCAAGAGTTGCTGAGAAATGCTGACCAGAATGCAGATGCCACCACAAGTGGCCTTGGAATTGCCAGGGGGGTGAAGGGGAGGACGCGACAATAGAAACTGTGGCATGCTGACTGGTAACCCCCCAGGTCATTGATGGCCACACAGGGGGAGCTGGAGTCAGGAGGCCTGGGGTTTGGACCCAGCTGGTTTCCCCGGGCACTGAGGTTGCTGCCCTCCTTGGCTCTGTTTTCTCCTCTGAGAATGAGCATTGGGTTCTATCATTTATTCCTAACTCTGGCACACTGACTAGACCCAGGTGGGTCCAGACCTCACAGCTCCAGCAAGAACGTCCTGGAAGCTCTTCTGCCATTTCAGTGAGAAAGGCTCTGCAGCTTCTTCCCCACCTCAGATGAGTCTTTCTACTTTTTTGATGTTAAAACATCCTTTTAAAAATAAAAAGTCTTTTTTAAAACAAATGTGTTCATGTCGCAAAATAAAATATATCTGTGATGTCAAATAGATCTTCTGGGGGGGATCTTAGCCTGATGGGTGAAATCCCAGCATCTGGGCTGCTCCTGAAGCTCCCCCCACACCCGCGGGGGGCCACGTGCCCTATCCGGATTGTTCTCACCTTGCTGCCAGCCTCGTAGAACTTCCTGATGGTGATTGGCGTGAGACCGGCCATCATCACATCCACGCACCTACAGAGAGAACTGCAGTTTCTGGAGGAGCCCCATGCAGCTTTGGAGAAGCGAGAAGTCCCAGAGCTGCTTTTTTTTTTTCTTGTTTCTTTTTATTATACTTTACGTTCTGGAGTACGTGTTCAGAACGTGCAGGTTACATAGGTATGCACGTGCCATGGTGGCTGGCTACATCCCTCACCCTGTCATCTATGTTAGATATTTCTCCTAATGCTATTCCTTCCCTATCCCCCAACTCTCTGGTATCCCTCCCCTAGCCCCCAAACCCCCAAAAGGCCCCAGTGTGTGATGTTCCCCTCCCTGTGTCCATGTGTTCTCAGCTGTTCAATACCCACTTATGAGTGAGAACATGTGGTGTTTGGTTTTCTGTTCTTGTGTGAGCTTGCTGAGAATGATGGTTTCCAGCTTTATCCATGTCCCTGCCAAGGACATGAACTCATCCTTTTTTATGGTCGCATAGTATTCCATGGTGTATATGTGCCACATTTTCTTTATCCATTCTATCATTGATGGGCATTTTGGTTGGTTCCAAGTCTTTGCTATTGCAAACAATGATGCAATAAACATACATGTGCATGTGTCTTTATAGAAGAATGATTTATAGTCCTTTGGGTATATACTGAGTAATGGGATTGCTGGGTCAAATGGTATTTCTATTTCTAGATCCTTAAGGAATTGCCAACACTGTCTTCACTGTCTTCCACAATGGTTGAACTAATTTACACTCCCACCAACAGTGTAAAAGCAGCAGAGACCTTTCACATGGAAGGGAGACTTGCTTTAGCGATATGGACATTTGGCCAGAGGATAAGACCAGCATGGCTTGTTAGAAATAGCTCTGGGCTGGAAGATGAGGCCAGAGATCAAATCCTTCAGGAGAAAACAAAACAAAAACCCTACAGCAAGGCACAAGGGTTACGGCTCAAAGCTGAAGTGCCACCAGGTGCTGAGTTAAGATTCAATTTTGGCCAACTCGGCCCTCTCGTCACCCCCTTCCTGAGGACTGTCTTCCTGTCCAGAGCCTTATGGTGCCACCAGAGGGGCCTCAAGCCCCTTTCCACTCTGTGCACAAATGGAATCAAAGAGAAGCTTTCAGATGAAAGTCTCTGTGTGCTTACGACTAAGACCTGTTGATTTGGCTCACCCACCCATGAAGGATCTGTTCACTGAGCATGTACTAGGTGCTAGGCACCCAGCGAGGTCCTTGTTGTGCAAAGAACAAAACTGATGGGCCAGTGAGGTGACATGTTAAGTCAACTTTCAGACAGATAACCACATTTAACAGTTATGTTAAGGGTTAAAAAGTTAAAGAACAGGTGATGAGAAGGTAGAAAATGGGGACTTCAGCCTAGTGTGGTCAAATCAGGAAAGTGATCAGAAGTCAGAAGAACTGGCACTTAAAACCTGAAAGGGGCGGGCAAAGCATCGGTCAGGCCAGGGATTGGAAGCCAGGATTCCAAGAAGGAGGAAACAGCATGTGCAAAGTTCCTGGGGCAGGAGCAGGTGCCACGCTTTGAGGAGATGTCAGGGCTGGCACAGCTGCAGGGCAGTGAATTCGACACTGCTCCACACTGCCCCTTCTCTCTCCCTCTTTGACTACTGTAATTCGCCTGGGCTCAGTTCCAGCACCACTTCCTCTTGGAAGTCTCCCTGATTGCTCCTCTCCACACACCCCCTTAGCTTTCATTTCCATGACTTTCTTCTTCTACCTGGTTCTTTGCCACCCTCCAAGAAGGGCACGGGCCGGGGTGGATGGAGTGCGGTTGGTGTCCTATGTGGCAGTTAGGGTCATGGACATTTCAGCGACTGAACTTTCACAGCTAATATTAACCTATCTTCAGCAAAATTGACTCAAAGGATGTTCATTCATTGAACAGGACACCAGAGAATAGCCACTGGGATCTCAATGTTGAAGCAGCACTTTGAACTCATTATGACTCAATGGTTGTCCTAAGCTCAGTGGAGATACATACTGCTCACAGGCAGAGGCTTAAAGGACATCTAGAACCTTCTGCACTTATTCTAAAATGTATCCTTCAAGAGGCCAGACCAGAAGGCAGCTGGGGTCTCATTGCCACCAACAACCACATCTCTGAAGGGCAGCTTTGACTGAGTTGCATTTTGGTGTTCTGCTTTTGCCAACACCAGGGAAAAAACATTACAAGATTTATTGTTCTATTTACGAATATTCTATAGATATTGTTGAGGACATCGATCATTAGTTTGTTTGGGGTCATCTGCTGAAGACATTCACAGTTTTAATACTAACAGTAGCTGTGCTTCTCCCAAGTGTTTTTTTTTTTAATTTTTTTTAAGAGACGGGGTCTCACTATGTTGCCCAGGCTGGAGTGAAATGGCTATTCACAGGTGCAATCCCACTACTGATCAGCATGGGAGTTTCTGACCTGCTCTGTTTCCGACCTGGGCCGGTTCACCTCTCCTTAGGCAACCTGGTGGTCCCCTGCTCCTGGGAGGTCACCATATTGATGCCAAACTTAGTGCGGACACCTGATTGGCATAACTCACTAAAGCCCAGAACTCCTTGGCTCAAGCAATCCTCCCACCACAGCCTCCCGAGTAGCCGGAACTACAGGCATGTGCCACCGCACCCGGCCAAGTGATTTGTTTTTTAAACTTTTAACTAGTTTTTATTTTTATCTCATGTCACTGATCAAGTTTCCCTGTTTATCTGCTGCTAGCAAGTCCAGAGCTGGAGGTGTCGGCCCATTTTAGGAAGAGCATGGGTTATTAGAGTTAGTATACACTTTTAGCCTTTCCATTTTTTTCTTTCTCCTTAAGAAAATAATAAGTTGGTGTTCTGTTGCCTTATTTCATGGACTCGTGGAAGCCACTCAAAGCCTTTACTAGAAGAATTTAAGAAACGATCAATGAATAAGTAATCTGGTCACGACCAAGGCACTTTCTCCCCTTATGTGCTCGGACTTGGCCCTTCAAACCATGAGACCGACTCTATCCATGAGAAAGTGTCCTGAGTACTGGGAAACCTGTGCTAAGGAAACATGGGGCGCTGCTGTCACCTCCTGGGCATTTTGGCTTCTAGGACTGCTGGGTCCTGTCAATCCTGCACCTTGGCTGTCTCTTGAGCCTACCCTCTCCTCCTGCTCCCACTTCCCCTGCCTCCTGCAGACCTTCCTGGTCTCTCAGCTGAGCCTCAGCATAGCCTCTCAACAGCTGGCCTCCCTGCCCTGCAGCCATCCCACATCCGTCACACAGTGCGGGCTCAGCCTCAACTACAGAGACTCTGCCACTCTCCCGTCCCACGCCCAGGCTCCCCGCTCTGCTGACTGAACCAAGACCTACGCATGTGGCTACAAGGTCCTGCATGACCTGGGCTCACCCAAACCTCCGGCCATCGAAGCTGCATTGGGTCTTAGTGGCCAGGCCCATCCCAGTTTGCTGCTGTTCCGCCCTGTCCCCTCTCTCTCCCCCTTTGACTGCTGTAATTCTTCCAAGCTCAGCTCCAGCACAACCTCCTCTTGGAAGCCACCCTGATTGCTCCTCCCCACAAACTGCCTTAGTTTTTATTTCCATGCCTTCTTCTACCTGGTTCCTTGCCTCCCTCCATCTCCTGTGAAACAACAGACTGCCAGGTAGCGGCCCTCCCCATCAAATCCATCCTGAGTGCCAGCTCTGTGCTGACCTGTGCTGCTGGTTCTGGAAATGCCACCAGGGACAGATGGAAGCCCTTTCCTCCTGGAGCACATGATCTCACCAGTCAGCAGAGGGTGAAGCCCAAGGTGTGACAAGGCTGAACAGGAGGCTCGAGCCCCAACCTCATGGAGCACAGGAGCCTTTAGGTGCCAGCTTTTATCTGTCAAAACCTACAGGGAACACTAGCTGGGCTTGGAGTTGCCAGGGAGAAATGAATGCCCCAGAAGGTTGGCACCTTCTCTTATGCTTCCTCTTCCACACTGTCAAACCCATCGGCTGGACTGGACTGGAATGATCAGATTTCCCAGACCCAAAGAAGCAAAGAAAGCCACCCAGGCTCACCTCTGGCTCGGGCAGGTGGGGGGGTTTCCAGTTCTAGAAATTCTAAAGGACCAGGCAATTGCACACAGAGGAAGTTCAGCCCTGCATGGAAGCAAGGAAATGCTCTTCTGGGCCTGTGAGCCTGGAGGAACCCACGTAACACAGGGAGGTGCTCCATGTGTATGTGTGTGAGCATGTGTGTGCATATACATACGTGCACACATGTGACCGTCACAATCCCAGCTGTGACTCTAGCCCAAGTGCCAATGAAGATACTGACATGAGAGTCAAAGGAACATGACCCAGTGGAAGCTGTGTGCACACCCTGCATCCCTTAAAGATAGGAGGCCTCGGGTATGTGTGATTCAGAATTAAGCAGTCATCTGGTGATTTCCCCACTGCCTGGGAGCTCAGCTGAGATAACCTGTGAGGTCTTATTCAGTACCTGAACATTGTGAAGCTATCAGAGTGACCTGGGGCACTTCTGTTCACACACACACACACACACACACACACACACACACACACACCCTATGGTGCCACTACCCTGCCAACTGCACCATCAGCCTCTCAAAGGCAGGCAAGACCCAGCCCAGCTGTGTGCAGGCCCGCCCTGGCCTCTGCCCTAGAATCCCAGCCCCACCACAATTATCTGGAGAATCTTGGGCAGGTCCCATCAACTTCAGGCAAGCCTGTGTTTGCTCATCAGTGCAATGAAAGGTTTGGCTCAGTATCTGCAAAGCCCTTCCTGCTCTGGCATTCAAAACAAGGCAGTGGGAGGGGAACGGAGAATGAAGAACCTGCCATTCTTGGTTCATCTCTGGATCAGCCGGGGGGAGAGTTCTGAAGGCTAGATGCAGCTTCCAGTCTGCTCCTAAGGTAGGGCAGCTGAGGCTTGGAGACAGAAAGTGGCCAGAGGCCCCACTTCAAGAGGGAAGCTGTTCTTCCAGCATTCAGGTCAGAGATACCTTCCTGGACCGCACCAGATTATAGCTGCTCAGAAATTCTCTGTGTAAAGAAGCTACGATTTCATAGTTATACATCACAAGGCTATGCTGGGCTGACAGTGGGCGATACATACAATGGAAAGGGCATGAGGAATCTCAGGAAAACCTGGACTTTTCACCCCAACACCTTCAGGTCAAGGCCAGATTCCTTAGGTGGCTCTAAGAAGCTATACCAGTTGGCTCTGCCTGCACCTACTCACCTCCCATCTGCCACAGCCACGTAACCCCACAGTCTAACTATGCCAAACACACTGGAGAGCCTCTTCAAGACTCCAGGCCCCTCCTCAATGCGTGTCCTCTGCAGAGAGGTCCAGGCACCTGCATTCCCAACAACGCTGCCAGATGCTTATATCTCCTCCTGCTGCATTTTAAAGCATTTTCATAGCAAGTAGTTTGGCCTAATAAAATATTTTCATAGCAAAAAAAGAAAAAAAAAAAAAGATCAAAGATCAAAGGCCTGGCCCCAGTCATTTCAGGATTCTCAGAATGAGGCACCTAGCTCAAAAACATTCGTGGGGTTGAATCTGACTGTGTGAACTCTACAAAAAAATGAATTGAAACCTGTAAGATCCCCAGGAGAAATCCGTCTCTTCCCTCTGCAGAGCAGCTACTGTCTTCTCTTGGTTTAGATGGAATATTCATTCATTCCTTCATTCACTCAGATAAAGAGACTGAGGTTTAAGAAGTAAACAAACCAGGCAGACCATCTCCTGTCCTGATCTCTTCTTTATATTGAATTGCATCAGGAATCAGGAAAAAAAGCTACAAGATACCACCTCTGTCCTCAGGACATCAAGCCAGTAGGCACACATCCCTGAAAAAGCCCAGAAGAAGAAACAAAATATTCCAGAGAAATGAATCCTATGAATGATTTTCCACTTGGTTCACTTACCCTTTCATAAACATTCACAGAATGGAGGAATATTATGGGATATACAAAAAAGGAGGGGAAGTTCCAAGAAATGCTCTTTCTTATTACAGATACTAATTTTACTTGAACTTAATAATACATAGCACAACACTTTCCACTTTGGAATTCCCAAACTTCATTCCATCCACCTTTACTCACTTCCGGTGTCTTGGAGACTGCTCGACAGGAGACTTTAGAGGGCAGAGATCCTGCCCATCTGGTCCCTCACCGTCTCCTTGGCCTCCCAGAGAAGCCCAAGAAATTGTCCTTGAAGCAGGTGAGTGAATAAATGAATGTAGGTGTGAGTGAATAACTTGATAAATGAGTGACCCTAAGCAAATCCCTCCTGACTAAATGCCATTGAAGGGAGGGTCAGAACCACAAATGAGCAAATGACGACATTACCACCTCACCCAAAGTGCAAAGCGGAATAGCACAGTGTTAGATGTGCAGGTTCCGGGGCCCCTCGACCTTCGAGTCCTGGCTTCCCTACTTGGCCGCTATGTAGCCTTGGGCAAGTTACTTACTTCCCAAGCCTCCAGTTTTCTCATCTGTAAAATGAGCATAGTAATAGTCCTACCTCCTAGGGTTGCAGGGAAGATGAAATGAGGTCATCCCTGCAAAGAGCTGAGAACTGAAAGGCAAAAAAACACCCCACCCAAAAGCCCTACGCGCTGACGTCTCCTAATCCCCAACAAAGTCCTGGGAAGCAGATAGGACAAATAGTTTGAACCACATTTTATGTAGGAGACCGCCAACGTACATAGAGACTAAAGGGCACCTTATTCAGAACTGAGCACAGACCCTGCATGGACCCAGGTTGCTGTTGACTTTGTAGGAAAAGCCCGGTGCAGACTGGGAGCTCTGACTCTCACCCCTCCAGGGTGCATTTCTATGGCTGCTTGAATGCAGGCAGAAACACCAAGCAACGTCTGTTACCCTCTCACGCTCATGATTTCTGCATCCACGAGCCCAGGCAACCTTTGTCAGGATGAGGAAACGTTCATGTTCAACGCCAACCCACTTTGAATGCCTCCTGGTCCCCCGCCACCTCTTCTCCACACCCCTGACACACCCTGATGAACCCTCCTGCTTGGCAGCCCAGGTGGGCCAGTGGGGTCTGAATGTCCAAAAGAGAGGCTGTGCCTCAAATGGGCAGGGGTGATTTTGGGGCTATTTTTACTTTGATCTTTGCATTTTCCTCTCTTCCAAAAGAGCTATAATATGTAACATTTATAACAATAAAAATATTATTTACAAGAAAAAACAAGACTTTATCTCAAATGAGCAGGAAAAATGAGGACTGACAAGGATGGAGAAGTCAGCTTGTCCTCCAGCGGCCAGCCTCTGTGTATGTGTATGACTCAAAGGAGAGTGATTTTTTTTTTTTAGCCAATAATCAAAAGAGGTGAAATTGATAAGCAAGCCTGGTTTGAGGGCTACTAGGAAGTCACTGCGTATAGGCACAAAGTCTCTCCCCAGGGTAGAAATCCTCCCATTTGCATTTCTTTCCCGTGAATCGAGAATTGAGAATCATTTGGTTAAAATTAGTATGTTGCTAGTGTGAATTAGTGTCTCAGTTCCTTTTCAGGCTCAAGGCCATGCTTGGCATAAAGACACCTGAGATGTCTCAGCTCAGTGAAGAGGAATGTTCTACCAAATGGACCAGGAATTGTCCTTCTGATTCCCCGAGGCCTGGCCCTGCCCAAAGTCAGCCTTGCTTCCTTACCTTTGAAACAGGCCATTGAACTGGAGGATGTGGGCAGAAGCCAGGACTCCCAGCACGTGGTCCAAGTGAATCTCCACCTCACTCATGTAGAGGCTCTTCAGGGCCGTGGCGAAGGCTGGGGAGGCACAGCCAAAAGGGCCATCAGCATGGGGCTCTGCACAGAGGACACCACCCGGGGGGGCCCTCCCTCACTCCTGCAGCTGGGAGGGCAGAGGGGTTCTTAAAGAAAATGCACCATCTCTGACCCAGATGCAGGCACCGCATGGAAGCTGATGATCTGCGCTACCAGCCTTTCCAAAGGAGCTGAGAGTGACGCTAAAGAAAGCAGAGCTTCTGCTGAAAGGATCCTCTCTTAAGCCTGCTCTCAGGGTAAGACCATCTTGGGGTTCTCTAACCTGGGGTCTGTGGCCTGTGCAGGAATGTGACTGCCCAAATAGGTACGGAATGTTGTGTGCCAGTATTTGCATTTTTGGGGAGGCTGCAGAGACAGCAGATTCTCCTTAGAGTCTGGGGCCTTCCAAAAGGTTAAAGACTCTTAGAAAGAGCCAGAATAATTGGATGGTTCAGGAACCGAACTGCCTTGGCTAGGGGCCAGGTGGACCTGGCTGATTCCAAGTCTCGCATGATCGCAAATCATGCTGTCATGCCATCAGAGTGTCCTCTGGCAACAAATGGCCCAACTAGAGCTGAAGTTTCCTCACCTAGCGATTCCTAAGCAACTGTCATCACATGACATCACGCATGTTGCACAAAGAAGCCTGCCTCCGAGTGGCTGCGAAGGGATGGGGAGAGAGTGAGCCCACGTTAGGGGAGGTGGTGGCGGGGCGGAGGGGAGGGGCCTTCGCAGGAAGAGGCAGGTCAAGTGCTATTTGGGAACAAGGCGGGGCCTCACGGATTCCCTGGGTGGGTGTGAGCCTAGAAGGGCAATTCCTTTTGTGCTGGGTCCGTCTCTAAGAAGCCCGCTATTTCCTCCCAGTCTGTGCATCCTTCACACCCTTTCTCCATGACAACAACCTCTCTAGTAGTATTCCACCTTCTTCCATTTCTCCAAGTCACCCTAGCCTCCTCACCCCTTCTTTCTGTGAATGTTCAGGCCTTTCTAAGAAGAAAGCGCTGAACACTGTGGACTGTTGGTTTGTTTTGCTTTGCTGCCGCTTGTTTCAGTTTTAAATCTGGGAGGACCATTTGTTCAACGGCATTCTCAGAACATAGACGAGTGTATACATACGGACTTTAGTGACCAGGGGGTCATTGATCTTCAAGGAAATGATCATCTTCTTCACAGGGGATCTTTCTTTGGTCTTCTTAGGGGATTGAGCTAGTAAAGGAAATGAGATGATGATGGATGGATAACCATGGCGAAGACACAGTGGGAGGCACCCACCACCCTCGCAGGCCCATAAGGTATCAAGACAGGTATCACACTATATTTTATTTGTTTGTTTCATAGATGTGTTTGCATGTGTGTATGTATGTATGTATGTGTGTATTTAGTTTTTGGGGTGAGACGGAGTTACACTCTTGTCACCCAGGCTAGAGTGCAGTGGCACCATCTCGGCTCACTGCAACCTCCGACTTCCGAGTTCAAGCTATTCTCCTGCCTCAGTCTCCCAAGTAGCTGGGATTATGCGCTACCATGCCTGGCTAGTTGTATATTTTTAGTAGTGATGGGGTTTCACCATGTTGGCCAGGCTGATCTCAAACTCAGCCTGACCTCACTTGATCTGTCCATCTCGGCCTTCCAAAGTGCTGGGATTACAGGTGTCAACCACTGCACGTGGCCCACAGACGTATTTTAAATGTTTATTTTGAAATAGTTTAAGGCTCATAAGAAGTTGCCAAAATAGTGCAGAATTCCCACGTATCTCTCTCCTAACTCCCCGCAACAATCCTGTGTTGCCCTGTGGATTGTCAAAACTGACAAACTGATGCTCACACTGCATTTTACATACTGATGGCTTCCCCCAACCCTCTCTCTTATTAGGCTGTGAGCAATTTGAGGGCAGAGGGAACCTCAGTCACTTCTGTGCCCCGAGCACCTGGGGCAGTGCAGAGGCAGGTGGTGGGAGTGCCACCTGCCGAAGGATGAACGTGGGACTGAGGTGTCATGTGGTGGCTATTGTCACTCTGCCCCAGAGAGCTCCACTTTAGGGACCACTGCCACTGAGCATTTCCAAGCAAAAAGGCAGCCCAATTCATTGCTAGCCAATGCCATCCACTCAGTCATTCTAGAACATGAGTTACAGAGTTACACTGCTCTCAGGTGTCCAGAGGTGCCCCACACCCTGGCACAAAAGTCCAGGATCTACTCACAGCCCCAATTCCCACAGGGCCTGCAGCCTCTGCCCACCGCTCTGCCCATCATCCTCTCACCTGCTTCCTCTCACCATGCTCCTCGGGATGGTGTGGACCTCCTGCCCTCCCTCCCTCATCAGGGACCTTCTCACATGTCCCTCCCTCCGAGAGGCCTTTCCTGACCCCACGTGTGAGGTAGCACCCCACTCCCCCACTAACTGGCTTTATGTTTCTTCATAGACCAACTTGACCATGACCTTTTATGAATTATTCTGTGTCTCTGGTGTGCTCTTCCCCACCCCCCACCCCCCAACCCCGCAGCTCAGCTAAGGTGGTCCGCTCCCCGCTCCATCCCCTGGGCCCACCCCAGGCTTCCACACACTGGTGCTGTAAATATTGGCTGAATGAATGCAGCGCATGGATTCCACCGCCAGGGAGCTCAAGGTTCCAGATAATGAAAAGTGATGTGAGCCAGAGCCAAAAAGTCCATCATCCTGTGCAACTATAGAGAAAGAGAGAGCAGAGAGTCCCTTTCCCTCAGTCTCCCCTCGCTGTCATCTGCCACCTGGCTCTGTGCTGGCTCTCATTCAGCAAATACTCAGTGAGAACCTACTAAGTGCCAGGCTTGCTCCACTCCGGATCACATTCTTCTCCAGCGTGACTACAAGGCCTCCCATCCCAGCCTGCCATCCACCCCATGGCAGGGAGTAAACAGGAGGATGCACGTGAGGGTCCAGCACATAGTAGGTACACGGAGGTGGTGGTTAATATTACGTGTCATGGTATTTGCCACGCTTTGCCATCATTTTGGCTTTGTCTGTCCCCTCAGATGGTAAGCTCCTAGCACAATGCCCAGCGTAAGCTAAGCATTCCACATGGGAAGGAAGAAAAGAAGGAAGGTGGGGCGTTGGGGGGAATCAGTTATGTCAGAGTAAGTGAAAGACAGAAGTTCAATATTCCCCCCAGGTTGAGTAAAACCCCCAGATTGGATAAGATATCAGTAATTTGATGACACTCTTCTCCAGGGTTCTCCAAAGCCAAGGTAGTTAGTTTGTTTTTAGTAAGCGAGCCACTTCCTTCTTGGATTCCACGCTAGAGAATAAACATGTCCCCTCCAGGACAGCTGCTCCTCCACTCTCCATGGAAGGAAATGGAGCAGCTGGAGAGCCTGTGCCTCTCTGCAGAGCCCGGCACTCCAGGGTCGGGACAGAAATGCCAGGACAGCCATGCAGATGACCTCGAGAACAGGGAAATGGTGACTGTGAGACAGGTATGCAAGCCACCCTTGTCAGGTATGTTCTTTTTTAAGGGCACATGAAGGACTGTGACTGTTCCTATCAAAAGACATGAATCCCAGGGCTTCATCAGTCCGTGGAGCTTCGGAGGAGACACTGGAGTCGTGACAGTCCAGGGCACTGGGGTTTCATCTCAGCACCTTTCCTGCTGGCTCCTAGCCAGGCACAGCCTCCCGCAGGGAGGCTTGGATCAGAGTGGCTGTCTTAGGAGGGCCAAATATTTTCATTTTAGGAACCCATTCTAGACATGTTAAAGACTGTCACATTAACAACTCCATTTCCCCTTCCAAACTGTCCTGCTTTTCCATGAACTCACTGTCTGGCTCACCAGAGCCTTTCACTGTTGGCCTGGCAAGTGTTCTGACCTGGGTGCCGGGGAGGCGGAAGAGGCTAGTCTGGCTCTTGAAGACGCTGGGACAAAGGCTTCAGAAGAGCACAGAAGCTCATGAGCCAGCATCCAGGTTGCTGTAGTTCTGCGGGAGCTGAGCTGGCTCTCACTGCCTGTGCAGAGGGGAAGGGCTGAGTCAGATTCCCCCAGGCGGCGGGGCTCTCCCTCCAGGCTCGGGCTCAGGGAGGGGAATGACCAGGGGTTCCAGCTGCCTGTCTGGCTCTGGAATAACAGGGCTCTGCTGGCATGTCTCAGAAATGAAAGTCCATCCTGACTGGCATGCTGGCTGGCTTTGGGGGCTTCAAATTTTCCATGGCACCTGCTTACGAGTCAGCCCAACCTGTAGCCCAAAGCAGCAGCTGGCAGTGCAGATGGAGAAGACTTAGAGAGCTGTTGAGAGGCCAGGGTGGTCAGGACTAGAAAAGGAGACAAAGAAAGAAGTGGCCTACATTCTTTTTGGAATGAGGTAGAAGAGAAGAGGAAAGAAAAGCAAAGACAGCAAACAAAATAGCCGCACACATGTGGGCCTCGAGCCAGCATACTGAGAGCCAAACAAGCCGCAGATGTCAGAAGTCTGCCTGCCTTCCACACAGCTCGTTGTTTTCTTTGGGATGGAGTCTTGTTCTGTCGCCCAGGCTGGAGTATAGTGACACAATCTCAGCTCACTGCAACCTCCACCTCCTGGGTTCAAGCAATTCTCATGTCTCAGCCACCTGAGTAGCTGGGATTACAGGCGCCTGGCACCACACCCAGCTAATTTTTGTATTTTTAGTAGAGACGGGGTTTCACCATATTGGTCAGGCTGGTCTCGAACTCCTGATCTTAGGTGATCCACCCACCTCAGCCTCCCAAAGCACTGGGATTACAGGTGTGAGCTGCTGCGCCTGGCCTGTTTTTCTTCTCAAAGAAGTAGGTAGAGCCTCTATGTCTGGGCTGGCCAGATGAGACTCGGGTTATTACAAGCATAGTAACTGGCATGTACTGAGTACCTGCTGTGTGCTAGGCCTTGTTCTAGAACCTCACACCTAGTACCCCCTCTACCCTTCAAAGCTGCATCCTAAGAACTATTATCCCTATTTTACAGTTGAGGAAACGGAGGCTGTCACGGGATGAGATAACACCATGGAGCCTTGCTCTTGACTGCTAGAGTGACTGTGGTCTCAAAACAGATAACCATGTTCCCAGCTGGGCACTCTCAAGATAGAGGGCACCGGGGCTCCAGCACTGGGCGCCGGGGAGGAAGTACCTCGCAGAAGCTTCTCCAGCTCCCTCCGGGGAGATGTGCTGCCCTGTGCCAGGGCTTCCAAGTAGAGCTTGGCCAAGGTCTGAGACTGGAAAAGCTGGGGCTGATGGAGTTCCCATTTGAAGCCCAGGCACTCGAGAATCACATCTGAGGAGAGAAAATGATGCTGAGCAAGCGCATCAGTAACGTCCCCACTCAGACTCGTCAGCAAAGGACTCCCCCGTGTCCTTTGGTAGGTGAGTCATTAAGCAGACGAAGCAGGCAAGCAGCTTCCACAGGCATCTCAGAGAGGAAGCGGTGAAGTGTGGGCCTCGGGGGCGCGGGGGCTTTGAGGGAGACACTGAAGGAGTCTTACAAGGTCACCCAGGACATGACACATGTCCAGGACAGCAGTGGCTAACTGGCTAACAGCTGTAGGATTTCAGAGGCACTCACGCTGCCCTCCAACGTGGGGAATGAGGAAAGGTCATGGAACAGGGAAGCAAGGTGACTGGGACTCTTTTGGGGGGGGCCTTATTCTGGCTTCCCCATGACAGTATTTCTCAGCCATGGCACTGTAAACATTTGGAGCCAGATACGTGTCTGCTGGGACGCTGTTCCATACACCATGGATGCCCAGCAGCAGCCCTGGCATCTTCCTACTGCATGCCTGTAGCACTCCCTCTCCAGCTGTGACAACCAAAAATGTTTCCAGACACTGCCGCGTGTCCCCCATGAAGCCAGATCACCCGCCAATTCCCTGTTGAAGACTACTGGGCTATGGGTACCAAAGCATGACCCATCTGAAAGGCAATAGCAGGCCCATCAAAGAGGCAGGATTCTCGCGACCCTCTCTTGACAATATAAAGAAGGCTCTTTGCAAACGGTAGAAGACTTTCTTCAGGGGCATCTATCCTGAGAACAAAATCAATGATCACCAAAAAAGGGGCTTTTTGATAGGAGGGCAGAGGGCGGAACCAAGGATGGCAGGCTAGGGGAGGCTCAAGAGGTTGTGGGGAGAGGACTCTGCATGGCTCAGCTCCTGTGTTGTTAGCACAGAGCTGGGGGAAGGAGAGGTGCCTAAGACCCTCAATTTCAGTGCCAGACAGGACCTGAAGGGCCACTAGCCCCATCTATGTATTTCTTGGTTTTGCCATTAGTTTCACGGTGTGACCTTGGGTACCTGATTTTTCTTCTTGTTATTATTATTGTTATTCACCAATGTTATGACAGTGTTTGGTGCTGGAGTTCAGGGGGGTTTGTATCTCAAATCTTGTATCACCTTAGGTGGTCTGGTTATGCTGAGTTAGAAAAAGTCTCAGCCCATTAGGGTGATCACAGGTAGGAACAGAATTGTGGATACAGCATATTCACTCATTGGAAGTCAGTTTCCACTTTCAGAATGGTCAATGCATGGCAGCCATCACTAATCAATTCAGAGCTCTTTCTCTCATATCAGGTGATGGTCTCAGACTAATTCTCTTGTTCAGAGTTGAAGGTGGGAAAAAAAAATTATTAGCCTCTCTTTGGAAAAGAGGCTGGCTCTGATCTCAGGCAGCCACACCACGCAGTGGGCTTTATTTAATAAAAAAAAAAAAAAAAAAAAAAAGCTGCTTTAAGAAACTGCTCAGCCTCCTCATGAGGCTTAATGAACCTTTTTCTAGCTGGAAGGACTTATCCTGATTCTTAATCTTACCTCAGAAAAGTTCTCTTGAACAAGTGCAGCTGTGAACATCCAAGTCATGACTGGTTAGAGCCGAAGAGACAGCTGCTTTATGCTTGCTACACTTGGTTTAGTCTTTCAGTACAAAGGTTACTTTTTTTTTTTTTTTTCTTGAGATGGAGTCTTGCTCTGACACCCATGCTGGCATGCAATGGTACAATCTCAGCTCACTGCAACCTCCTCCTCCTGGGTTCAAGCGATTCTCCTGCCTCAGGCTCCCAGGTAGCTGTGATTACAGGTGCATGCTATCACGCCTGGCTAATTTTTGTATTTTTAGTAGAGAGGGGGTTTCACCATATTGGCCAGGCTGGTCTCAAACTCCTGACCTCAAGTGATACACGCATCTCGGCCTTCCTGCTGGTATTACAGATGTGGGCTATTTATTGACATCAACACATTTGTCTTGATCACAGCTAGGAGCATAAATGTGTTTACCAAGCTTGGCTTCACTCACTGCACATTTGACAAGTAATTACAAAGCACTTATTATTTCTTAGATGCTGGGAAGTGGATAAGAATTGCAACTCATAGACTAGCACCCTGGCTTACGGGCTGGTTTTCTTCCATAAAGACCACAAGATGCCCCTGGAGTCAGCAACATTCTGGCTTAATCCACAGCTAACAAAAACTCACCTGCTTCCCCACTTTGGATGTCCTCGTTCTTCAAATTCCCACAGAAAAGCTTCTGAATTTGTGAAATGCATAACCTCAAGGGAAAATACAAACGTGAAATCCAGGAGTTAATACTGACATTTTTCTCCAACTACAACAGCATCATTCTAGCATAAACCTCCTTAAAGCACCCACTGGTCAATCTAATCATATCTCGCCTTTGGAAGACTATCTTCAGGTCACCGTTTGTCTGCTGATCTCCAAAACGGTAGGCTTTTTGATAGCTAGCTTATAATGCTGATTCCTGTTTTCAGTTTGTGGGCAGGCCTTACCGAGGAGGTATTTGAGGTCATACTTGGCTGCCTGAATGACACCTCTGATAACACAGAGTGTCTAAAGCATCATCTGGCATATAGTAGGTACTCAATAAATATTCTGCTGGGAGAAAAGAATAGAGGGCCCTGCTCATTTCTGGGATGTGAACTCACCAACAACTTTGCTCAGAGGTCATGCAGGTCCCACTCTCAGTGTATCCAAAAACTAAACTTAGCATCTACCCCAAAGCCTACCCTACGCAGATTCTCATTTCAGGAAATGGCACCGCCAGGCTGCAGTTGCCTAAGCCAGCACGCTGAGTGTTGTTACATCTCATCACTTGCCTAGATCTTTTGAATTTGTCCATCTCTCTTTGTTGCTATTGCTAGAGCCTTCGTTCAAGCCCCTGTTACCTCCCTCTGGTCACTGCCAAAGTCTCCCAGCCTCCAGCCCTGCTCTGCTCGGACGCCTGCCTCCCACAAAAATGCAAATTTGGTCTTGTCTCTCTCCTGCTGAGAACCCTCCAGTGTGTCCCCACTGCTCTTGGGGGAAAGCCCGAACTTCTTAGCATGGCTAACCCGCTCCTGCGTATCTCTGCAGCCTGGTGCCTCAACAGTCCCCACTCCAGCCCTTCTCAGCAGCCTGCACGTGGACCTGCCAACTGCTGCTTTCAGCTCTTGCATGCACTCCTCCTCGCCTTTCACCTAGCCAAGATCCTACTCATCCTTCAGGATAAACTTCATTGCTGCTTTCTCTGGGGATGCTGGGCCAGTGACTTTACCCCTGCCCATCCTGGAGTTTCCCCCTTAAAGCTCCGTCTGGGGTGTCTTGTGGCTGCCTGTTTACTTGTGCGTCCTCTGCAAGCCACTATGACCCTAGCTCAAGCCATCCTGCAGGTGCTCAGTCAATATTCATTAAACGAATGAATGACAACATAAACACCATGGACTCATCATGCTGAGCCAGGAAGTGAAACAAAATTTGAGTCACATATTCGTGGCTTAAAGACAGTCATCCCAGAAAGCCAGCCAGCCAAGAGACGCTTGTGACCACAGCTGGTCTGTGTCATGCTGTGTCAATTTCACCATGCTGTCTCCAACAATCCCAGGAGACCTCATGGCCAGGGTGCATGCAGGAAGCATGGGTGGGAGACCGCGTTGAGAAAATTACCAACTACGTGCTGCCCTTTCCAAGGGGAGAGGATGGCTGCCGGTGACTCAGCTTAAGGCAGGCAGTGGGAGCTGGACTTGTTTATTCAACAGGAGCAGAGTGGGGATCTGACCCAAGCCACCCTCGCTTCCTCCCTCGATCCCCCTCATGGCTTGGGTGACACGTCTGGAAAGGGCTGGCCAGAGTCAAGAGTTCAGACCGTGATCTCAAAATGGAGCCACAGACTTTGGAAAATATGGCACAAGGTCCATGAACTCAACTACCCACACAAACACCAGTGTCATCGGCTGAGCCAAGGGATGCCAGGAAACAGAGGCAAGCATACTGCCTCCTCCTGGGTGTGAGGGCAGCTTGTCAAGACATACGATTTATCCCGTAGGCTCTGCAGTTCCCAAGGGCTGGGGTTCATTTTAGGATCACTGGAAAAGTGAACAGAACACATGGCATCTGTGAGTTGTCTCACTGGCTGGGACTAAGCGGTCTGAGATGAACTCCCATTGCCATGCCTGGTGCGGGGATGCTGGGACCCTGCTGTTAGGCTGGAGCTCACTCCCCCGAGTCATGACCATGATGGAGAAAGGCAGAAGGGGAAGAAGGGAAAGTAAGTTTCTCATGGACATGTGGACTATCCAAAGGGCAAAATGCCAATTTGATTAACTAGGAAGAATTACATAGACCTGGGGCTGGGCCCGAGTTCTTCCATTTTCTGCCTCTTGGTCCCAGAGGAAGGGGGGAGTAAAAGACAGTGTTTGGAATGCCTGGCACAGACATGCGTCCAGTTAGCCTTCTCCCTTTCATTCATTCCTCCTTTCATTCATTCCTCCTTTCATTGTCTCTGGGAAAGCTGTCAAAATAAAAATGGAGTTACGACATGTTAGAAACCCTGATGGAGCCTGCCATGGTAACATGTTCCCGTAGCCCCTACTTGCAAGGCTGAGGCAGGAGGACTGCTTCAGTCCAGGAGTTCAAGGCTGCAGTGAGCTGTGATTATGCCTGTGAATGGCCATCGTGTTCTAGCCTGGACAACTGGGAGAGACCTTGTCTCTAAATCTCTTTAAAAAAACAAAACAAAACAAAAAGAACCCCACCCAACACATAGAGGTGGGGAAGGCCAAGAAGGGAGAATTCTCACTCATGAATGCCTGATAATAAGAACTATCACAAAAGACTCTGTAAAACCTACGTCTGTACGCGAAGGCCATCACAACCTCACACACAAAAAAGTACTGGGGGGAATCTGCCTAGCAACTCGAACTGGCGTCACCCTTGTTTCAGATCCTTGTAGCCAAGGATAATTATCTCAGAGCAATGAGATAATCCTCCACACTTGTCCCTTAAAAACCTTTGTCTTGCCAGGCACGGTGGCTCAGGCCTATAATCTCAATACTTTAGGAGGCTGAGCAGGAGCATCACTTGAGCCTGGGAGTTTGAGACCAGCCTGAGCAACACAGAGAGACCCCATCTCTACAACATATTAAATAAAAAATTTAGCATGTGGTGGCAATGTCTGTGGTCCCAGTTACTTGGGAGGCTGAGGCAGGAGGATCAATTGAGTCTGGGAGGTTGAGGCCGCAGTGAGCTGTGATTGTACCACTGCACTCCAGCCTGGGCAACAAAGCAAGACCGTTCTCAAAACAAAACAAACTAACAAAACCCTTTATTTTTCTTCACCTCCCTGAATACACACATAGCTTACGGTGGCACTGGTATTCCATTGTAATGCCTGTTCCAGAATAAACATCAACTTCTTTAGAGAGTCTTCCTCACTTCTCTATTTGTTATTTAGGTTAACACTCATTGGTCTGTAGTCTCACTCTCCCAGAACTACTCTCTAGTTAAAAATAAAATAAAATAAAATACGCGGGTCCCTTCTTCCCATCCTCACCTCTTAAGCATGACTTCCTCCCACCCTTAGAATGGACTTGGCTTTGTGGGCAGAAATGGCGAAAACCACCAGGCAGCTTTACCAGCTGGGGACAGGGAAGGCTCTGGGTCTTTCCTAGGGCCATAATCACCTAAGCCTTTGTGGGGTTACCCCTTCCCCAGCCTGGCCTGAGTCACACCTTCCATGCTGGATCTCTGGGTTTCCATGACACCAAGCATCCATATATGCCAGGGGAGCCCAGTGGCACGCTTGACACATGTGCATTGAGCATTTATGTGCCAGACACTTTTCTAAGCTCCTTACATGAATTACGTCATAATTTTCTCACAGCAACCCTGTAAGACGGCATCACCAATGTGCACATAAACTAAGGCATGAGAAGATGAGGGTGCCTGCAAGGAAGTTAGCGTGTCCTCCTTTCAGCCTCCTCTCCCACACTCGGTGCCCCAGCCCCTGCCAAAGGACGAAGGCAAGATCAGCAGTCTGAAGATCAGCACCTCTGACTGGCTGACTAGGAGCTCCCTGCACCATGAAAACCCACAGACACAATGGAACGAAGTGCTGGCCAGCGGGGCACAATGACATACCCGAAACAGATGGGAAGCTGGGAGCCCGGTCCCTCAGCTTTCCACCATGAATGACCCTTTCCTTAACTCAAGAAATACAGATTGGTTCCCGCTCCCATCCACGCGGACAGCACCCCCAGGTGGGAAAAGCAGCAATGACAGCGTCCACAACATAAACACAGCTTGCCGGGCAGGGCAGGAACAGCCATGGAGTGCTTTGGGGGACATAATGTTTGTGGCATGGGGCATTCCAGACCTTTACTGACAGTGGAGCTTGCCTCTGACAGTTGTCTGACGCCTGAAGGTTCACAAGAGTTACCAGGAAAAAAACTCTTCATGTTATTATCTAAATTAAACACAACCTTCATTCTAAGATGTTTCTCAGAATCACATGGAATAAATTCCTATTGTGAAGACAAAGAAAAGGTGTGTGTGTGTGTGTGTGTGTGTGTGTGTGTGTGTGTGTGTGTGTGTTTCTCTTTCTCCCTTTTTCATTTTTAGAGAGAAAGGCTCACTCTCTCTCCCAGGCTGCAGTGAAATGGCACAATCCATAGCTCACTGCATGCAGCCTTAAACTCCTCGACTCAAGTAATCCTCCCACCTCAGTCTCCCGACTAGCTGGGAATATAGGTGTGCGCCACCATGCCTGGCTAATTTTAAAATACTTTGTAGAGACAGGGTCTCACCATGTTGCACCATGCTGGTCTCAAATTCCTGTCCTCAAGCAATCCTCCCACCTTGGGCTCTCAAAGCACTAGCATTACAAGCATGAGCCACCATCCCCAGACAAGTTTGTGTTCACTACAGAAAATCAGTTTCCCACACTCAGTAGACTGTACCAGTGGCTCCAATTCTTCATCCCTCCCTGTGTCTGCATTTTGCATTCGTCTTGCAAAGCTTCTCTCCATAAGGAGACAGAGTGTGTTTTCTGTCCCTTGACTGTGAGTTTGGCCATGTGACTTGCCTCAGTTCATGGGATGCTAGTGGATATGAAATGGTGGCAGGTTTAAAACACACATGTGCTCCTGGGCTTACCCTCATGTCCTCTGCTGTCATCACAATCAACAATAAGCATAAGTCCAGGCTAGTCCACCATCTCAGGAGGAGGACAAGGGGCTCAGGGAACAGAGCCCAAGTGCCCAGGCAGAACTGAGCCTGGATCAGCTGAGCACCAGATACATGGGTGTAGACTCGCCCAGAACACCCGAGAGTATCTGCTGCCTCTGGACATGCAGCTCCCCAACATCACAAAGGAGCGGGCCGCATGTGTAAAACTTTCCCCGGGAAGACCGGTTCCTCTGTCCCTGCGGATGTGCTGGAGGAAGCTGTTGCCTTGGAGGAAGGAACTGGGGAAGGTGCGAGGAGGCAGAATGAAATAATGGGGGTATTGGCTGGCAGAGCACGGAGCTGAGACACCCCAAAATAAAATCTCTGGGATCAACTATTAACATGCTACTCAGGCAGTAAAAAAGTTCTGTTTATTAAGCATCTACTATTTGCCGGAAACAGTGCTAAGCATTTTCAACATATGGCTTCATTTAATCCTCAAGATGACTCTTCATCTTGAAGAAGGTGCTATATAACCATTTTAAAGATGAGGAAATTGAGGCCCAAGGAGGATTAACCACTGACTAAAGGTCACAGAAGTAGTAGGTGAAGAAATAGGGATTCCATCCCTGTTGACAGACTGCTTTTAACAGTCCAAATGCCCAGCGCCAAATGCCATTTCTGCACCCAACCCCTCAGGCCACTGCTTCCACTTTAGCTCAGTGACTCCTGAAGACTTAGTTCCTGCTGCCCAGACCCTCTCATCGGCTTTTAGGATCACTTTGCCCCTATGCCCAGGCATAGCTCCAGCACCTGCATCCCTAACACTAAGGAACTGGGCAATGGAACAGGGTTGGCCAGTGGATCTAGAGAGGGAAGGTTTGGCTACTCGCTGAGCAGATTCAGCAAGCAGTTCTTCCGTGCTGGGTGCTGCCCCAGGAGTACAGTCCATGCTCACTTCGATTTGACTGCGAGCTCACAAGACAGATGCTGCCAGCCTAGGGATGGCAGTGGCATCAGGCCAGGTCCATGCCCCAGCAAAATGAGGTGTGCCTTCTGCAATAGGGTTGCTGCAAATTGCACGTTTGTTTCCTCCAAATCTCATGTAGAAATTTGATCCCCAATGTTGGAAGTGGGACCTAATGGGAGATATTTTGGTCATAAGGGCAGATCCCTCATGAATAGACTAACACCCTCGCTCAGGGGTGAGTTCTCACTCTCAGTTCCCACAAGAGCTGGTTGTTAACAAGAGCCCAGGACCTCCCCTCTCTCCTCTCTCTGGCTTCCTCACTTGCCATGTGGCCTCTGCACACTTGGCTACTCTTCACCTTCCACCATGAGTGCAAGCAGCCTGAGGCCTTCACCAGAAGCTGAGCAGATGCCGGCGCCATGCTTCTTGTACAGCCTGCAGAACCTTGAGCCAAATAAACCTCTTTTCTTTGTAAATTTCTGGGCCTTTGGTATTTCTTTATAGCAACACAAACAGACTAAGGCAAGGGTCCAGCTCTGTGTTTCCAGGAGAGGCAAGAGAGAACTCATCACATGGGGAAGTGAGGGTCCAGCCTCCTGCTCGGAATACCATGAGAGTGAGAGAGGATCGATCGATTGGGTGAAAATGGACATTCTCCACAAGCTGTCTAAACACGGAGCCAGGACTAACTAGGTTTTTTTTTGTCAAGAAATCAATTGGCTCCTGGATGATAAACTCAGAATCCTGTTTGGGTTCAACATTCCCATGGGAAGAAAAACTGTTAAAAAAATAAAAATAATAATAAAAAAGCTTCAGTCTTTCTCTGTGCTTTTGTCACCACCCACGGACATTCGCAGAGAAAGTAGTCACTATGACCCTGTCCATGCCTAACGGCTGGCTCCAGAGCGAGCCTTCCTTACAGATGTGCCTGTGACAGCCACTCCAGCTAATCAGAGTGGTCCAACCATTAGGCACCCTCCCCCTCCAGGAATGATGGGCCATTCCGTGCCACAAACCTTTGAGTATCCCTACCTGTCTGGGTTCCTCAGAGCTTCCTCAAAGTCTACACTCAGAGCCTTGCACTTCTGGGAAAGTGAGAGCAGGTCTCCAGAAAAAGGCTGTCTGGGGAAACGCCACCGGTTGGTTGAGCCAGCGATCCGGCGTTCTAGCTGAGCTTTGTGCTGCTTGGTAATCAAAGAAAGAGAAGACATCTTTTTCTAACCTCACATGAAGGCCAGATTTTTGTACAGGAGAAAGGAAATCAAGACAAAGTTTACAGTGCTGGTTAATTTTTGAACATGGCTAATATTTCTCATGAGATATCTTCTCAAGCCAAAGACGCTGTATTCCACTGACCAAGGGTACCACGGGTCTCAAGCTATAAAATAATTTGGAATTTAAGATCTAAGACAAGGGGTGTCAGAGGCGAGAGGTCAGGGAGAAAGATTGTTTTTTGCAGGTAGCTCTCTGAAGAATCCACAAGCAGGGCTAGCATTATGCTTTAAGTACTGTTCTTTGAGTACTTACCCTAAGTTGTCATACAGAGAGATCTGAAACTGTGGAGATCTTGGACAAGGAATTTTTTTTAACAGTGGTAAAATACATAAAACATAAAATTTGATCTGTTTTACAGTGTACAATTTTGTGGCATTTAGTACACTTACAATGTTATGCAACCATTACCACTATCTAATTCTAGAACATTCTCATTACCCCCCAAAGAAATTCCATACCTATGAAACTGTCACTCACTGTTCCCCCATCCCCAGCCCCTGACAACCACTAATCTGCTTTCTAAGATTAGTGCCCAAATTCTGATTTCATGCTTTTGCCTGTTCTGGGTATTGTATATAAGTGGAATCACACAATATGTGGCCATTTGTGAAGGGCATCTTTCACATAATGTTTCCAAGGTTCATCCGTGTGTTGGTACTTATTCCTTTTTAAGGCTAAATAATATTCTATTCTGTAAATATTCCACATTTTGCTTGTTCCTTCACTAGTTGATGGGTACTTGGGTTGTTTATGCCTTTTGGCTATTGTGAAGAACGCGGTGAATATTCATGGACAAGTTTTTCTTTGAACACCTGTCTTTTTATTCTTTTGGTTATATATCTAGGAGTGGAACTGCTGAGTCTTTGGGCAGGGACTTTTACTTAAGACATTTTCTTGAGGCTGCAGGGGAAATTCAGCAATTTCCTTAAGGGAGAAGGGCGATACCCAGCGTGGATAGAAACCTTAGACTGAAGGCTCAATGCAACCTAGCCAGGAAAAAAGCACCAGGAGGGACCCACAGAAATGGATGTCATTGATCCCAAGCCACCCACGGCACCAATGGCGAGACCATGGGCCATGGACCAGAGGATCTGAGTTCAAATCTTGTTACTGCCACTTTCTGGCTGTGTGACTTCGAGCAAGTTATTTAACCTTTTGAGGCTCTCAGGTCTCATGTGTAAAACGGGAATAATGGGTGGTGGTGGTGACAGTAACAGCAATTGTGACAAAGATGGTGAGGATGGCCATGGTGGGGATTGTGGGGCTATCATCTTGTTTCCAGTGTGGTGAAAAGTATAAAATAGAATAAAGTTTGGGAAGTATGCTTAGTATAGGGCCGAGAAGATGGTGGGTGATTAGACTGTGGAATCTTGAGTCTAGACCTAGTCCTGCTGTCACATGAGAAGTAAAACATCGTCAGCTCGGACCACAAGCCTGCTCTCTGCTTTCTGGACGGTGCTGCCTGGACGCACCCTTTCCAGCCGAGTCAGCCAATACACTTGAGGTCCTCGGTGGTGCAGGACCCAGCCCCTTGTGGAAATTGGTTCAAACGACCATAACCAAGTGCTGCTTCTCATCACCTACCTTCTTGAGAAACCGATCAACTTACCACGTTCGACATTATCATAAATGAGAGTGGAGATTACACAGGAGATCAAAGACAAGCAGCCTAGAACACAAAAGAGGTAAAGGTGAAATTCTCTATGCTTTTCCAAAGGATTTCTTCAAAATATTACGGAGGAGACAGGCCTCAAGAATCTATATTTTGCCACGGGAACAATAATGAATAAGCCTCGAATGTGGGTTATTTATCAGTCGAGAGAATATCTTGTTGTTGTTGTTGTTGTTTGTAAGCATGTTAGCAGACAGATCGCTGCTGTTATTCTGGGAAAGTGGCTCAGATAAAGCAAAACAGAAGATAACCCTTTGCCAACGTGAGGAAGACCAAAAGATAGCTATAAGTAGGCTGATCACATAATTGATCATTCAGACCAGGAGAGTAAAGGGGTGATATTAATAATCAGGCCTGGGCAGTGGCTGTAGACCAGGGCTGCCCTGGAGCCCGGTGGACTGATGGTCAGCCTAACTTCTGGAGCCCTGAAAGAGGAAGAGCAGAAGGACTTTCCAGCGGTCTCTGAACATTCTCACAGCAGCTGGTTACAAGCAACAGAAACCCATTCGATTACGGGGTTAGGGGGAGGTTAAGATTGATTGGAAGGATGGTGATGGGAGGAGGGTCTCATAGACTGAAAAGGAAACTGGAGAACTGTCTGGAAAGAGGAGGAAGCAGCGGCAGGGATCTGCATGGCTCGCACCAGCAGCTGGTGGCTGGTTTCAGGCGCTGCCTCTAGCATGGGTCGTCTCTCCCAGAGTCCATCTATGCGGGGTTCTGCTCAATCCAGATTCTCAACAAGAGGCCTCAACTGCCCTGGCTTAGCTCAGGGGCCCACTCTTTGGCCCCTGAGGGCAGACACCTTGACTAATTCTCCCAACAAGACCGTGCACTGGGGATTGGGTAGTTCCCCAGAGCCACAACAGAGAAGTAAAGAAGTGGGCGAGCTAGTAAAACCAGCAGAATCCATGGCACTTGATGACCAAGAACCTCAGTTGACCTCCCCTTTGCTCCCCAAACAGCACTTCAGCTGCCTCACAGCCGTGCGATGGTTCCTCCATCCACCAACAAGCATTTCCTGTGCAGTTGCCGTATGGAAAGAGGTATCAGCCGTTTCTGAGACAGCAGTGAGCAAAATGCCCGTGATCCTCATGGAATTTCCATTCCACCTGGGCACACAGGCTTTTCTTTTCCTTTTAATTACCTTAATTAGACTTCTTAATTGCAAAAGTAATAATACATGCTTGTTGTAATAAGCAAACCAATGCAATGACAGGACAAGAAAAAATTAACAAAGCTGTGTAGTATTACTTTTTCTTTTTGTGGGGGGATAGGATCTTGCTCTGTTGCCCAGGCTGGAGTGCAGTGGTGTGATAAGGCTCATTGCAGCCTCAATCTCCTGGGCTGGAGTGATCTTCCCACTGCAGCCTCCTGAGTAGCTGGGATTACAGGCATCAACTACACCTGGCTGATTTTTAAATTTTTCTAGAGCCAGGGTTGTCCAGACTGGTCTTGAACTCCTGACATCAAACAATCCTCTTGCCTTGGCCTCCCAAAGTGCCGAGATTATAGGCATGAGCCACTGTTCCTGACCCCATAATATTTCATACAGTGGATACATCATTATTAAAATATTCCTCTGCCAATTGTCACTCAGGTTGTTTCCTGTATTTTATTACCATAACAATGGGAACAATATGCATACACATTAGGGCAGTTTGTGTACATGTGTACATATGTTACCTAGATCTGCATCTAAATATATGTGTGTATGTGTGTGTGTGTATATATATATCTTTGTGTTACTGCTTTTAATTCTATGAAACACTCTTCCAAGTGGTATAGTTATGTTAGAAATATGTATCTTCAGTTGAAATAGTTAATACCAACTCACTTGCCCCAAAATTGCAGCAATGAACGCTCCCATCATCAATTTATGTGTTTTTCATCTCCAGTACTAGGTAGTATCATTGTATGTATTTTTGCCAAGATGGTGAGTGCCAGATGGTTTCAGGTTATTGTTTAATTTGAACTTTCCTGGCTACCAGTCAGGTTGAGCATTCTTTATATATTTATTGGCCCTTTAATTTTTTCTTTTCTGCAAACTGCCTGATCACAGGCTTTTCGCATTTTTCTCCTGGGTTACTGTGGTTTCCTTAGCGTTTTTTTAGGAGCTCTCTATGTACTATGGACACTAACATTTTGTCTGCCATACATGCCGCAAAAGTGAATCATTTGTCTTTTGACTTTGTTTATGGTAAACAGATTGTTTTATTAGGTATGAAAATATGTCGTATTTCCTTTGCCAATCTCTAATTTGAAAACATGTCTGGGAGCCAGTTGCAGTGGCTCACGCTTGTAACCCCAGCATTTGGGAGGCCGAAGTGGGTAGATCACCCGAGGTCAGGAGTTCGAGACCAGCCTGGCCAACATGATGAAACCCTGTTTGTACTAAAAATACAAAATTAGTCAGACGCAGTGGTGCATGCCTGTAATCCCACCTTCTTGGAAGGCTGAGGCAGGAGGATCGCTTGAACCTGGGAGGTGGAGGTTTCAGTGAGCTGAGCTGGGACCATTGCACTCCAGCCTGGGCAACAAGACTGAAACTCCATCTCAAAAAACTAAAAAAAAAAAAGGAAAAGAAAACGGGTCTGGGTACAAACATGACCCTGGTGTCTGTACCCACCTGCTGGTGTCCTAATTAGCAATCGTACCTGCGTGTGCATGTGTGTTAAGAGCAGCTTTGGCTGCTCAAGTAGCTTCCAGAGGTACATTTCAGTTCAGAGCAATGTGTATTTTCCTTGATGGCTGAGTTCCCACCTTGCATGAGGAGGCTTCTCCCACCTCAGGTAACACATACATGCTTTTCTGACGCTTTACCTTATGGGAGCCAGAATGATGAACTCCTCAGCTTAGAATCCTTCACCAGCTTCCCTCTGCCCTAGGCAGATCCTGAATCCTCAAAGTGGCCTAAAGGAATCTGAGAAGAGAGAAGAGGGTTCCATTCTAAAGGGGACTCGGTCGGCACAGAATAAACCCCACAGAGATAGGGCTCGCCATGCCCACGGGGCACCGCTTCAGTTACAGAGAGAGGGAGGCTGGGGTTTGTACTCAGCCACCCAAAGCTCCTGCTTTCTTGGATCAATACCCAAGAAGTTTTGTAGCTGATCTTGAAATCCAGGGACATTTCAACGGCCTGGAAATGTGTTCTTTTTCATCCCACCAGGCAATCTGCCCCTTCATACATTTTGTTTTTGTTTTTGTTTTTGTTTTTAAGATGAAGTCTCACTCTGTTGCCCAGGCTGGAGTGCAGTGGCGCAATCTCGGCTCACTGCAACCTCCGCCACCTCAGTTCAAGCGATTCTCCTGCCTCAGCCTCCCGAGTAGCTGGGATTACAGGTGCATGCCACGACACTTGGTTAATTTTTTATATTTTAGGTAGAGACAGGGGTTTCATCATGTTGGCCGGGCTGGTCTTGAACTCCTGACCCTGTGATCCACCCACCTTGGCCTCCCAAAGTTTTGGGATTACAGGCGTGAGCCTCCGCACCCTGTCCCCTTCATGCATTTTGAGAGTCTGTGCCTAGGTCCTTGTGAGTGGGCAGGAGCTACCTACAATGGTCTCTTGGCTCCCAGACCCCTCCCGATTCCCCAAACTCCCTCCAGAGGGACCCAAGTTGAAGCAGCACTTGTCACTAGGACACGCTTCTTGGCCTCTGAAGTGGCTGAAAAGTACCCATCATACTTACTGTCCCAAACCCCTTTCGCCCAGCACAGGCGTGCTTACAGCGGACGTGTGCTGAGTGGAGAAGCTCCCATCACACTGGCCTCTGAGTTACAGGAGAGCTGGGGCCTGGGCGCCTTCTGAGCCCGAAGCCTGGAAGCACTCATCACATCTGGGGCTCACTCTTTCCATCTTATGGGCCAAGGCACTTTGGCAGGGGGCGCTTGCCTTTGGCTTCCTGGGTGGTTGTGAGCACCACGGCGACAGCAGCGAGGGTTCCAAGCACTTCCTGTTCCAGGGCAGGTTTCAGCTCAGGCTAGGGCTGTGTCCAAGGTCCTGGCTGATGGGGAGAGGCTGCAAGTGATGGCGTCTCAGAGACCAATGTGGGTGCCATGTGCCTCTGCGCCTGTTCCTCACAGCACTGGGGCAGCCCAGGACAGAGCCTCAGTGAGAATCAACTCCAAATCCTCAGGCCTCATCTGTAAAATGAGATTAGACCTGAAGCTTCTCAGATCCCTCCCAGCTCTGGCATTCTGGAGTGCTCTATTTCTAGCTTTTTCCATCTATCAGTGTTTTGACAAAAATATTTCAATAAAAATGGAGTGTTCTGCATTATTAAAACTATGCCTAATGAGGTACTTTGTTGATGATATTTAATGCTGCTCTCTCTGGGAGCTAAGAACTGCCTAAAAGTCAAGACAAAGAGCTGTCCAGTCGGCATCCAGAGCGGATTTTTTTTTTTTTTTTTTTTTTTTGATGGACTGTCACTCTACGGCCCAGGCTGGAGTGCAGTGGTATGACGACCTCTCACTGCAACCTCCACCTCCTGGGTTTACCAGGTTCAAGCAATTCTCATGCCTCAGCCTCCTGAGCAGCTGGGATTACAGGTGCCCGCCACCACACCTGGTGAATTTTTGTCCTTTTAGTACAGATGGGGTTTCACCATGTTGGCCAAGCTGGTCTTGAACTCCTGACCTCAGGTGATCTGCCCACTTCAGCCTTCCAAGGTACTGGGATTCCAGGCGTGAGCCACCACACCTGGCCCCGAGTTCAATCTTACAGTGTCCTCAGCAACGTGGTCTGTGAAGCCCACACCCCGAACTAGGGGGTGGGAAGGCGGAGGCCACATGGGTCAGGGTCACATGGGTCACCATGGGTCCATCGAAGGCCTGGGCCACCACCCCAGGGATCACAGAAATCCCTAGTTACAGTACTAGGAACCCAGAGGCAGTGCAGCTTGTAAGACCCAAGACCAGCCTCTCCTAAGTTACAAACATCGTAAAGCAGGAAAGTAGCTGTCCTGCCTCCTGTGGCTGTGACCTAAAAACTATGAAACCTTCTGTAAATGGAAGGTACTCCTGAATTTATCTCCCACTCAGCTCTCAATTCCTGTGATTCTACCCCTCCCAACACCATATTCTGCTTTGCAGAGAAGCTGATCATTGTGGAATGTTCTGTGGGTGGCTTACCCATCTCTGCATCTCCAGAGCCCAGCTACCAAACTTGGACTTTAGAAAGTGCTCAATAGGACGGGGCGCGGTAGCTCATGCCTGTAATCTCAGCACTTTGGGAGGCCGAGGCAGGTGGATGACCTGAGGTCAGGAGTTCGAGACCAGCTTGACCAACATGGAGAAACTCCATCTCTACTAAAAATACAAAATTAGCCAGGCATGGTGGTGCATGCCTATGATCCTAGCTACTCGGGAGGCAGAGGCAGAAAAATCGCTTGAACTTGGGAGGTAGAGGTTGCGGTGAGCTGAGATCCTGCCATTGCACTCTAGCCTGGGCAATGAGAGTGAAACTGTCTCAAAAAAAAAAAAAAAAAAAAAAAAAAGTGCTCAACAAACATCGCTAGAATTGGGTAATTGGATGTACTAGTCCATAACCAACACTCTGCCTGTGCACATGCTTGAGCGCCACGTGTATACGTATGCACATGTGATTATGTATGCATAGGTGTGTGTGTCTGCGTCTGGGTGCAAACATGGCCCCTATGTTTGTACCCGCTGGCTGGTGTCCTCATTTGCAATCGCATCCATGTATGCATGTGGTTAAGAGCATCTTTGGCTGTTCAAGCAGCTTCCAGAGGTACACGTCAGTACAGAGCAATGCCTCTTGGTTGCGCACTGGATTTTGGGTTTGGGAGTGAGATGACAGGGGGTTTCATGGTAGTATACAAGTGATCCCAGCAACTGCCACCTGGTTAGAGAGGCAGCCAATTGTCAGGTTTTTGGTGTTCAGTAGCAGCAGCAGCAGCTGGCACCACAGTCAGGATTTGAGGTGAGCTCCGAAGGAATCCACTGCTGCTCACCTCTCAGCCCAGCTCCTCTGGAGAGCAGGAGGTAGGGAGGGATGCGCACAGTGAGACAACCTGTGGGAGGAGAACGCAGGCAACAGAGGGCTGAAGACGCTGGCATGTCGTAGGGAGAAGGGTTAGGAACCCCAGTTCCGGGTCTGTCCCCCATCCCTAGACCCTCAGGGGCAGCACGAGACAGGAAGTAGGCCTCCCTGCTGCAGGGACGCAGGAGCCCGAGGCAGAGGCTGCACTCCTGAGCCAGGGGTGGGCCGTCTCTCATGCTTGAAAACCAAACACTTCTTGTTGGTGTATTTTCCTTTTACAAATGCAGTCCATGTATAGGCACAAATTCAGAGGCAAAAAATTCTTAACAATAAAAATCACTTGGATTCCACAGCCAAAAATTCAGCATCAATAGTACAAGGACATTTTGTATGTATACACGCGTTTTTGAAACGCGGTCCTACTGTACCTACTCTTGAACGTGAGTTGTTCACTAACTTGGACGTTTTCTCCTGTGCTCTTGTGCACGACTGCTAATGGCGACTCTGTGCTTCTTGACGCAGAGGCAAGTGGGATTCGGGTAGGCAGCCCCTTCTAGGGGACATGCGGCAGCTCGAGGTGCAGCCCGCCCTTCAGGCTGCGCTCCTCTCCTGGGCAGGGACAGAGGCTCATCGGGCACCCCCGCACGAGTGTGCGCCCACAGCCACTGCGCACCTCCTCTCTTCCCTGACCATCGCGTTGCTCTCCACTCCCCCTCCTGGGGTCTGGCCCATGGCTTCCTTCCTAGCCCAGTGCCAAGAACGCAGGGCTGGAGAGGGGCTGGGCAGAAGTCTGTGTACAAATAGACAGGTTTCCTTTCTACGCTACTCCTTCCCCTCTATCCCAAACTTTTCCCTGCTAACTGTCCCTGGAATGTGGCGCCCCATGTAAGATTTCAGTTAACAAGTCTGAGGGACATTACCCTGGACCATCTTCATATCCCACCTGCTCCATCATGGGCCAACCTAGGATGCCCTCCAGGTATCACTCTGGGGTGCAGCTGAGAGCGGGCTCCCTCTAGTGGCCACTCTGTGGAAGCGTCCCAGGATGCCACACCCCCAGCAACCCCTAGGCAGAACCCTGGCCTTGGCTGAATCCCCAGCTTTCTACAAGGTCTAGCTCAAGGATCGGGGCCTTCAGCTCACCCCAGAACCCTCAGTACATACACCCCCCACAGATCCTTCAGAAGCTGAGATATTGGGCAAAGTCAAACACAGCAAATACAAATAAATGGAAATAGCCCCCAGCGTGTTTCCCCGAGAGAGCTCTCTGCTGGTGGTGTCAGTGTGCTGGGCCTGGACAGTAACTCAGCCCCTTGGGCCCAGCCGATGAAGCAGCCCACAAGCTGGAAATTCCAAGAGCAAAGGTCTTTGGCAACACAGACATCAAACCTCATTGAGCACTGCCCTTAGCTGGAACCGCCTTATGCCAAATCTCCTGTGTCATAGTTTGGGGTGGTTATGAAGGGATATCCATCTTTTTCTTGAACACTCAGGGATGGGGAGCTCATTACCTGGCCAGAGTGCCCATTTCCGCCCACTCCATCCCGTCGCCCACATGCGGAGGTGGTGGAGTGCACTGAAAACAACACCCAATTCTGACCTGGTTCTGACTGGCTTAGCTGTGTGGCCCTGGACACATCCTTAACCTCTGTTGATGAAAAGAGAAAATCTGGAGCCCCAGGGGCCTGGAAGATTGGAGAGTCTGTGCCCGGGAGCCTCATGCACCCAGCCAGGGTCCAGGCTGCTGCTGGGAGTGCTGCCTCCAGACCAGGCCCTGGCGGAGGCCTTGCATGAGCCAGAAGACAGGGGCTTCCAGGAAGGAGAAACAAAGGGTCCTGCCCTGGAACTGAGTCCTCTATGGCAACTCGGCTGATCTCAGTGATAAGAAAGGAGAACACAGTCAGACATGGAGGCTCATGCCTGTAATCCCAGCACTTTGGGAGGCTGAGGCGGTCGGATCACCTGAGGTCACGAGTTCGAGACCAGCCTGACCAACAAGAAGAAACCCCGTCTCTAATAAAAATACAAAAATTAGCCAGGCATGGTAGTGTGTGCCTGTAATTCCAGCTACTTGGGAGGCTAAGGCAGGAGAACAGTTCTAACCCAGAAGGCAGAGGTTGCAGTGAGCCAAGATAGCACCATTGCACTCCACCCTGGGTGACAGAGTCAAACTCCATCTCAAAAAAAAAAAAAAGAAAAGAAAAGAAAAAGAGAGAACAAGATTGGGTCCAAACTGAACTGGCCATGAACTTGCTGCGGCACTTTGAAGAAGTCCTTTTTTAGCTCTGACTTCCAATTTTCTCATCTGCAAAATAAAGTTCAGACAAAACAGTTCCTTCATCCACGGTTGATCCTCATTTCCAAGGTATTCTGGAGAGTGGTGATGCCAGTGGGGCTGGCCCAGGGCTTGTTTCATTCACTTATTTAGAAAAGATCTGAGTGTGAAGATTGTGTTGGGTACTGGAGATAAAATGAGGACCGAGAATGATGTGTACTACCTTCACAGCTTCATACTGTACATTACTGAACTTACTTTTTTTTTTTTTTTTTTTTTTTTGAGAGGGAGTCTCGTTCTGTTGCCCAGGCTGGAGTGCAGCGGTGCGATCTCAGCTCACTGCAACCTCCAACTCCTGGATTCAAGTGATTCTCCTGCCTCAGCCTCCTGAGTAGCTGGGACTACAGGCATGCGCCACTGTGCCCAGCTAATTTTTATATTTTTAGTAGAGACGGGGTTTCACCACGTTGGCTAGGATGGTCTTGATCTCTTGACCTTGTGATCTGCCTGCCTCAGCCTCCCAAAGTGCTGAGATTACAGGCATGAGCCACTGTGCCCAGTCTGGACTTATATTTTTACATAACATTTTGTTATGATGTTTTAAAAGTAACTTTATCAATGAAGTATCATATTTG